TAGAATCCGTCTTCCTGCAACTTGAACCCATCATTCTGTGACCTGCTCCTTGAGATGATCAAGAAGAGATCCTGGCCCTCATCTGTCTGACACCTATACAGGTTCTCAAAGAACGCTGTCATAGCTCCACTCAGTCTTCTCTTCTCAAAGCTAAACAAGCCCATCCTCAGTTTGAAGGGCTGCCGGCAGACTGTCCTCTGTTTCAAACGCGTCCTCTGTTCAGAGAGCTACTTCATCCAAATGCAGGCTAAAGATGAAGATCTGTCAGAAAGAAAAGCTGGACCTTGAAGTTACCCATCAGACAGAATAAAGTACACAGGTTGCCTGCTGTCACGAGCCAGGTTCCCCCCTGGCCCGGCACACACACACACACACACACACACACACACCCCTACAAAATACAGACTGTTCTTTGGCCAGAGCTCTTTATTCTCCAATGCACTTCTGGTAAGCACAACCCACCAAGAATGAGTGTCTGAGCATGCACAGAGCAGTTTATTGAATTCCACCTAACAACTGCTTCCCAGCATTCTCCTTTGGAGTTCTCCTTGGGCCCCTCCCTCTGGGATGTTCTTTTTTGGAGATGTGCAAGTCTCCTCTCTACCTGTCATTCCTCTAGATGGTTGGCCCATCTCTCTGAGGTTGCATCATGGGGCCAAGAAGTTATGCTAGGCTCTGCTGGCTGCAGCGGTTCTTCTCCCACACCCCTCCCTGCAGTTGCAAATCCTGACTCTTCTCGACATCCACCTGAACACCTGGGGACAGTGCCTTGAGATAAGCCCCTCCACTGCTTCCAGTGCTTATTATAGATTACTGTAATTCACAGTCATTCTTTCTAACTTCGCATATATACCTATAAATTGGCACATGTACCTTGATGTCATCTTTGTTGGTGCTGCATTTGCTTTTTATTTTCTTACGAGTCCTTTATTCTGTGCTCCAAACAGAGAAACAGTTTTCGAGCCATCTATTCAGCCCTGAAAAACCAGTGAAAAGGAATGCTCTGTGAAGGAGCCATTTCTGAAACTAATCACATCTGCAACTGGCTAGGAGAACTCTTGAGAATCCTGCATTACTCTCACAAAGCTCATGAGATGAAGACTGGATTCTAACAAGTAAACAGATTGGCAACGTATTTTCCTCTTCCACTTCTGAACTACATCTAGTTCCACTATTCATCTCAGAGTTTTTAGGTCAGCCTTCCCCAGCCTTGTGCCTTCCAAACACATTCAGACTGCAACACCCAGAATTAACAGTCAATGAATTCGCTGGATGGGAATTCTGGGAGTTGTGGTCCAAGCATCTCTGAAGGCCACCGGGTTGGGGAAGGCTGTTCTAGATTATATGTTCTACTCCATGCCTCCTGAGGTTCATATTTAACCCACTGCTTACCCCCAGCATTACCCTGTAGTGGGATGGGAGAAAGGAAGAGTCTTCGTATCCTCAGCTCAACCCAAAGAAAACCAGGTTGTTCTGTTCCTACCTGGAATTTGAAAATACAACAACAAAAAGCCTCAAGTAATTTATTTGGAGTGTGTGACGAGGAAAGGAGAAGAGGCCTCGCTGTAATTATAGATAAGCAGCCAAGCATACCATGCTATTAATGTCTGCCTGATTGTAATGTGGGGAAAGAATGGGAAACTGCATTTTTCTTTAAGCAGGCACTTTTCAAGCCTGTGGCATTAAAAAAAAAACATGCACACGCCAAAAAAGAGGCTCTCTCTTTTCTGTTGACCTCAGTAGAAGGGAGCTGAGAGTCAAGTTAAAATGGAAGAACAAAGCAACAGCCCCTCGGCAGCCTGTGGATTCTTCCTTTAATGTTCCCTTCCCCTGTGGCTTTGAAGCAGGGGTTCTTGGCCCTCTCATACATGAAAGGATTGTGTGATGGCTTGAAGGTCTTTGCAGCCACCCGACACTGAGAGTTTCAGATACCTGTAGCAGTGATGCTACTCAGCTGAAATAGGTGGATACTGACACTAAAACAGTAGAGAAATATTCACTACAGTCTTTGCAAGGATGGTGGGATACACAGAATTTAGGTCTAGATTTCTTGGTAAATTTCTCAGAAAAGAAGAGCACCATGTTATGAAATGCCATCTTATCCTAGGGCCAAGTTTGCAGTACTGAATTGCAGTTTTTAAACATTCTAAACAACTTGGTTTCTTTTGCATGTTTTGGATAGGGTGCCTTTGAAAAGGACTCAGCAATTTGCCTTGAGACAGGTGCCCTCTGTACTTCTGACAGGTGCAGGAAGGCACCAGACTGTACTGTACTGAATGCACTGGCTGTATAGATGCTCCAGTTCAAGACATTAGTTTTAACCTTAAAAATGCAGTAAGCAGGTGAAGAGCCCTTTCCAGCTTGTGGACCAAATTCTGCTGGCTACCAGGGACTAAATTTCAGTGGTGACTGGGGTCAAGGGCAAAAAGGGCAAGGCTGAAATACAGAACATACCAGCACAGTGTAATTAGCAGTGCAGTCCTGGCATGTCTAGATACAGAAACGTCCTACAGCTCCCAGGAAGCCCTGTTAGAAAAGCATAAACGCCTTGCAGAACAGGGTGGCGGTGAGCCGGTGCCTGCAGAGAACCCCATCTGCGGGTGCAAGATCTGATGAACTGGGCTACACTGGTACCCCCAAGAGTCTCCCCAGTCCCCAAGCACTCTTGGTCCCTTGGGATTGTCTGTCCGAGGATGCTTCATGGGTCCTTTGTGCTGGGCTTCTTTACAGGCCACCTGAGCCTTTGAGGAGCACAGCCAGCTTGCTCTCAAGATGCGCCATGCAGCTGGGATGTTGACAAAGTAGTGTGACCCAACCACAAGCTGCTTGTTCTGAGCCTCCCCTCTTCCACCCCCAAAGCACACCATCTGAATTTTGGTGAAAACAGGGTAAAAGATTTTTTAAGGATTCCGGAAAAATACGGAATGGGGGAAATGTTGGTTGGAGTAAGTAGTTTAGAGAGCAAACTTGTTTCAATGCGCAAGCAAAAAGCACTCCAGAGCAGAAAATCATTGGCAAAAAGCAAGCAGAGCTAGCTGGAACAGCTGCTCACTGGGCCCAACTAGTTCCGTGCTGTGCCCATGGCGAGATTCCCCTGGAGCGTGTGTTAGGTCTTAGGCCTGCCTGGGGAAAAACCACACCTGGGCAGCTGTGCCAGAGGAACCTCGGGCGATCGCTCCTTGGCCTGCTTCAGACTCAGACTTCCAGGGAGACCTGCTGCTAGCACAAGTGCTGGAGGAGAGAAGGTCTTCCCCACACACTTCCTTTCTCAGAGGAACAGATTCCCTCTGGCCCCTTCCTCTTGTCTGGGTGGAAATCTTGGTGGAATCTCTTGTCATTTGCCTGCCATCCACTGATGTTTCATCCCCAGCTCTGAGATGGATTCTAAGCGAGTCCTATTGTCCAACCACTGGACAGCTGACTATTGAATAGGTTGCTGATCAGTGGCGCTTGTCCTAGAGATGCCCCCAGCCATGCTATCTGCATCGCAATGCCAGTGCCAGTGGCTAGCAGCCTGGCCTTCTGCTTAAGCGGAGAGCTACAGCTGCTTGCCAAGGGGAGGTTTCTGTCTTTCGCACACAAGTGAGATGAAATCAATATGGTCTGGCTGAGCCGGCTGCCTCAGGCCAACCATAACAGGAGCGGAAGTGCACAGAAGCAAGAAACCAGCAAATTAATTGGCAGTCAGTGCAAAGGGGATGGCCTTTGCAGAGGGCTGGATCTGGTCCCCAGATCCAAGGTCTGCATTCCTGTTCTACAAGGCCTTGAGCTACATAACCGAAAGACTGCCCGTATGCTATAATGTTACATTTGCCAGTTGTCATCAAGGCATCAGGGGCTGCCTTCACCATGCTGGATCGGGGCACTGGGAATTGGGAAAGCAGTCCTTAGGCATACAGCCCCAACAGATGGAAATGGGAGTGAAGGTGGTGTTCCTTCTTCCCTGAAATCATTTCAACTTTCAGTGGATCTCGCTAGCAGGTGGTTGTTTTACTGCCCAATGCAATGCAGTGCTGTGTGTTTGTATTTATTGCTTATTCCTTGTTTTAATTCCATTGTAATGTTTAAAACTTAAGTCTTCTTGAGTCTGTTGGAGAAGAGGCCTAGCATTGTGGTGCTCATCCACACAAACTGGTGAAACTGAATGAAATTGCTACCTGCAAGTGGGGTACCAGTTCTTAAGCTCGGCTCTTTGCTCCTGGCTACAGCTACTCCAGGTCAATAGGGCATTCTTTGCACGTTTCTCAACTCCAGGAAACTTTCTCTCTTCCGCCCATCATACATGATCTGTCTCTTGGATAAAAGTTATTGTTCTGTTTTTCATTTCTTATTTCAAAAGATACTCCTTTATTACAGAATGTTACGATCACCAGGATATAAAGTATTGCTCTTATTTCTTTACTATCCTATCTGTAACAGCTACCTGTTCTGTTATGATCTATAAATAAGTATGCTTGATATGGGAGCTCAAAACCTTGGATAGCATAGAAGGAGGGCTATAAAATATAAAGTCTGTTTTGCTGATAACCACCAATGTGTTTAATTCTATTCTTTTGTCTGTGAAGAAGTTCTCTGTTCTACAGCGGCACCTAGTGGAAAGAGACTGGGTTGCAAAATCAAAAGTGGAATAAATAAGAGAATCAACATTAGGAAGTGTGTAACCAAACAAGACATAATATTCAGCTTGTACAGCATAATGTTATCTCCCAACATGCACCTTGAATGCAATTCCAGCTCATTATGACATTCCCTTCTTTCCACTGGCTCATGTACCTGTGCATTATCTCCCCATTATGGCAGCATAAATATCTAATTTGCTTGGACAGCGAGGAAGAGAAACCTTAGATTTTTGTCTCTGTGGTTTTGACATGCTGTGACAAAAGGAAAGTGCAATCAAAGCATGGAGCATCTTACAACAGAAATCTAGTGACCTTGAAGGAATTCATGGGAATATGTATGCATATATCCACACACACAAAGCTCCAAATACACACAAATGCTATGGCCAAAAAAACACAACCTTTTATTAGATGACAGGATATAATAGCTTGAGCAACAACAAATAGAAAGATATAAATTCAAATAAACTCCAGGCAAGGTAGAGCAATTCCAACACAATTCTGCCAGGTAAGAGAAATGGCTCGCTTGGTGTCACAAAACAATGAATAATATCATGCAACTGGGGTACAAGTACATCCGACACCACTTTTACAGCCATTGCAAACTGGGAAAACAAGAGTGCCCACATGAGGTACAAAACAAAAGAAACAGGACTGGTTTCTTGGTTTGTTTGGCTATGCGATTCAAGTAAGGAAAATTGCAGGCCTAGCTCTGGCATCACTGAATCTCCACGCTGCAGGGAAAAAAAAGGCACTTTCCATTTAAGAGAAACCTGTGCGTATGTCAGTGGCGTTAAACACTCCCTTCATATTTCTATTCCCTATAGCATGTGAAACAAAGAAAAACAGCAGCAGCAGCAGCAGATCCCTTCCATAACACGTAAATATTGAGAGAGACATTCATCCACTACTTGGTTTCTAGGATAGCCTGACTTCTCCTTACCCATGATTCCAAGGCTGCATGAATGGACCAAGCATCCATAAGGCTCAGATACTAATTGTCCTGATAACAAACGTTCCTTCCCGCCACTCCCCATTGAGAGGCACCGTTAGATTGAAATGGTAGAGCAGTCAGGGGAAGGAGTCTTAAACCAAAGGCTGCTGCGGATTGCTGCCCTGAAGGATTCTGCACAGCACACCAGAAATGAAGGGTGCCATGCGACAATCAGGGTGTTCGATTCCAATCAGTAAATGGGGAGTTGCTCTTTGCATCCTGAGCAGAAGCAAATGCAGATTCACTTAATCTGGATTTGTCTCATCCCTTTCAAACATTGTATATCTTTGGTTACAGAAGCTTATTATTTTCCCTAATGGAGGCACCTTGTGCGGAAGAATGGGCTTGACTGAACTGCTTCCGAATAGGACATTTGGAAGTAAGCAGGAAAAACAGACAGCTGGTGTCAGCATGACAAAATAGGCAGGAAGGCTGTTGAATATCAATTATATTCCGTACATAAATATCACAGTATCTTGTAACCGCTTGCTCCGACTTACAACCAGGGGTCGGTACTGAGTCTGGTAGAAAGCAAAATGAATATCCACCTGGACAAAATAGTCCTGCCTAACGGACACACCTCTGCTGGAGGCACTAAGGAAGTTCTCTTTCCCACTGCAATACATGCACCAAAACAATTCCTGCAGGAAAGTTCTGGGAAAATGTCAGTACCTGATCTCCCCTTGTGATTTCATTTCCTTAAACCATCATTTCATTAAATTACATGATCATGTTTTCAAGACTTCTTACTAAGTAAACCTCCCATATCCAGAATAGATGACATGCTAAGAGTTTACCAGGCTCCAAGACATCCAAGCCCTAGGTTGTTTGAAAGATCAGCTTACAGAAGCCCCAAACTGCCACCCATATTCATTAAGCAACCCAACATGCCTAAAGTTTTCCAATGATCCTAATTAATTAAACACTCAGTCAAGTGTTCTAAAGAAAAAGTGGACGTATTTGCGCTGTTGCAAGTACTAAAGTGTATACTTAGAAGCCAGGGATGGGGACCCCACATCTTGTGGGAGCTCCCCATGCAGTCCAATGGCTTCCTAGCCTTATCTGCAAAATTGGCATCAATGGACGTGTTCACTGCTTTGATCACAGTGGGGGAGAGGTAATGAATGAGGGTCTGTGAGAGGGTCAGCAATCGTGTCCGGAGCAGTGGGGCAGCCCTGCTCACCTCGGATGCTTCCCCCACTGCAGACCCATGGCTCCTGACAGGCTTGCCCAGAAGTAATTCAGGCCTCATGCTGGGAAGGGTCACCCTTAAAACAGTCCTACCTCGGCACTGAGACACAGGACTAGAGCAAAGGTGGACTCTTAATACAGCTCTGTGGTGCTCAGAAAGGTGGAGAGGTGCCCCCCTCGAGTGCCACAGCATTTCATAGGTCTCAGCTTACATCTGCATCAAGAAAGCACACATCAAGCGTCCCATTACACTGGACATGCAATGTGTATGGAGAAGGATCAGCTTCAAAACAAGACAAAGCCGAGTCTTCTTGACTGGATTTTCCTTAACTGAAAAAAAAGGGCCAACATCAAATGTAAAAAGGAAAAAAAAGTGCACTTTCATTTAAACATCTGAATTTCTAAGTTCTTTGTGCTGCTAAACCATCCCTTGATTCTTACAGTTGAGTTCAATTGCCAGATGCAATTGCTCCGTAAACTTCTTCCAGGTGAGAGATTCCAGAAAAACAAGACCATATGAGCACTGTACTTAATCACTGTTAATACCTCATTTTCTGTGTAGGGCAAAATTCCTAACAGGAGATGCATTGTGCCACTGTAGCAAAAACAGAGTCCTGTGGCACCTTAAAAATGAACCAATGGTGAGACTTCATCCTTATAAAGTTGATTCTTATACCGGGCTCACATATGCACATGCCCATCTTTGTTTTTCCATAAAGCTTGCCACTGTGCATTGGTTTGCCTTTCAAGATGCTTTTGTATTCCATGCGGTTTGCCTAACAGAGAACACAGGATAACAGGACAGCCCGATAGAGCTGGATACTTAGCCAAGCTGGTTTTCTGAAATGCAGGATGTTCTTGACTAAAACAGTTAATCTTTTGGCTCTTCCCACCATCCCGTGGTGATTTATTCCACAATATTGTTTCCCTTTACCGTTTTTTCTTTGACCCTCCTTTGTTGGCTAAATCTTTTGGCCCTGAGCAGCCTTGGCCTACATACATTGCCTGGGAGGGTGCTCAACTTCAGAGAAATATTTGTTCGTCCCTTATCATAGAAACAAAATTCTAATCTACAGCCTTGTTCCCCAGCATTTTTCTTCTCTTCTGATCTAATCTCCCACAGCATTTTCCTTTAATTGAAAGAAACAACCATCAGGGGAGGGCAATTTGGATTAGGCTGTGGTGCATTGCTTAAGTCCTTTTCTTGCTCTGCAGCTAGCAGCAGCTTTGAGGGAATGATTTAAAACTGGAGAAATGGAATAACCATTTTGCAGAGCTTTGAATAATCCTGCACAAGCATCAATAAGAGGTAAGAAGATAAAGCCCGGGAAACCCTTGCATTTGTGGCTGGGTTGTCTTTTTGCCTTGGGGCTGGAGTGGGGAGTCGTTCAGAGGTTTCCTTGCTTAGCACGAGGCAGACAAGTCCAAGTTCATATCGGACTCACTGCATCCTTCAGCCCTAACAGGGTCAACTGGGGACTCTCCTGTGGAAGGAGCATCATTGCTACTGATGCTTGTTGCTACTGCACACCAGCTTAACGTTACTGCTTCACAGCCTATTGCTGAGGTCAGTTCTACAACAAAACAAAATAATTAAGAGAACAGATAAAGAAACATCAGATCAGGTGGTTTCTTGAGCCCAACATCTCAGAGAAAAATGATGAGTGACAGCATATAAACCCATTTCACTTGTTCCTTCCATGGGATGTATCACTTTCTTCTCCCGAGACAAGGTCTCAGAATTAGCTATTATAGTCACGGCTTTCCAGAATGACACTCAGAATATGCGCTAGTTGGGTGAGACGAGTCTTCAGGGATGTGTCAGAAAAGATCGTCAGCTTACGGCTCAAGTCAAGGGGCAAGATAGATATAAGCCACCAACACCAAACGGGTCCATCTGGAGAGGCCTAATGGGAAAAATGTGTGCAGAAAAACAGGTCAACAGATTATGGCAGGGATTCCATTTTTAGGCACGGGAAATAGTTTTGGGCTAGTCTCTGGGACCAGTGGAGGCGGCAAATTTAGCCGCATTGAGATGCGGCCTGAGGAATGATAAGTAGTGAGAAGTTGTTCCTTCATCAACAGAGTATTTACTACCTGACATTAGCAGATTATTTAATACCTACAATTGTTTAATTACAAGCATGTGACAAAATTGTCCAATTCACATGTAACAGTACATCAGAATTCTTTAAAAATCTGCCTTATTGCCACAATGGTTTCCACTTGGCTCCTCCTTCCAGTGGAAACAATGGAATGAACCAGGAAACTTCCACCCATGGTTTGTTGAGCATTATGTCTTAACCAGAATCTCAGGCTTGTCGCTTTGCTAACAATCTAGCATCACTTAGCAGTTGAGAACCTTGATTATGGGCAGTACATAAATGAAATGAAAAATAAAATCATCTTGATGCTACAATCCTATACCCACTCACCTGGAAGTAAGCCACATTGAACTCAATGGTAGTTGCTTCTCAGTAAATACATCCAGATTGCATTAAACATCCCTTTAGAAACGCCCTATGAATAAGGTTTACTTTTAAAACCTTCCTATGAATTCACACAGTTCAGATTCTTGGGCCATACCCAACTCACTTGCCTGCATGTGGGGTAGAAGAAACTCTGACAAAATAATGAACTATATACATGTAAAGGGGGGAAAGGCACTTATTTTCCTTCTTTTTTTAACAACTTCAGGTGCAATCTTATGCATTGTTCGACAGAAAAAAAGCCCTACAACTTCCAGGATTCCCCAGAAGCCATAACAAATGTAACATTCAGTGCTTTGACTAGATGAGTTCATCTATTTAGCAGTGTGCACACATTTTAAACAAGCTCCAGAAATAGGCTTGGGCAAGAAACATCAACCTGAGTAAAGATGAGAAACCAAACAGAAGCATACATGGTCCATTTGGACCGATACACAAGCACGCCAGCTTTCTGTAAATCTCTTCTTAGCTGATCAAAGATGTCCAGGGATTAAATGTAGTGGACTAGGGTTCAAATCTTTGACTCTAAGTGTTCTTGAGTGGCCAGTAACAACTGGATATAAGATGCTCAACTATTATATTTTCCAGTTTCCACAGTTGAGGAAGATTAACCTATCATGATAAGCACCTCTCAAGATTTCTTAATAAAGAAAATAGGAGAAAGATCTGATGCTTTGGATGCTTAGATATTTAGATATCTAAATGGAAGCTGAACTCTTGGTAATGCTGAGTCAGGTCTCTTTGTCTTAATCCTTTAGTTTCAAGAATCCAATTCTTTATTGTAAACTTAGAAGCATGCTAATGCATGCCACAAAATAATAATTGAACTATTACCTATAACAGGGTTAGGCAACTTGAGCCCCATCAGTCCTGACCAACATAGCCAGAGATGATGGATTATGGGAGCTGCAGGCCAAAACATCAGGAGGACCACATCCACTATGGTCTCCACAACTGGTGAAGGCCAACAGGCATCTGTACAGGTAGGATTCTCAGCTTGTCAGCCCTGTGCTCCTACAATGCAGCGAAATGCCTAGAATTATGCCCTATTATGTTATTCCCCATAGCAGAGCTGTTCTTAACGTCTTGCGCCTCACTAGGCTCACGGTAAGGTGGAACAAATTAACCACAGGATGCAAAGGATGATATTGTATTTGGGCTCTTTAAAAAGCGATGCTACTTCGAAACTGAAAAAATTACTTGACAGGAAGCTTTATACCCCACGGTACAGCTGGCTGGATCAGCGATGTGAAAAGCACAGTATCAGCTACGGAATGGGGCACTCACATGGTAGGTAGGCTGAACCAGTAAGTCAGAAGAGCAGTCGAACAGAGCTTCCAGTGCAGAGCAAGAATCAGTGCTCTTTCATGGCCCATGGCCAATTTTCCAGAGCTTTTAAAACCAGCCCAGTAGTTTGCACTACCGTAATGTGTGTGAGTGTTGCCTCACTAGCACATGCTGCCTACTGGTAACTCTTGGTGCCTCACACTATTGTGCTGTGTTTTGTGCGTGGTCAGCATGGCTCGTATATGTGAGCATCTGATATTCTGCAAGAAGCGTTCAGAAGGGGGTCATGAGTGGCAGGATGCCTGTCAGTGCAGGAGACTTTGCAGCTCACGGCAGCCATGCACACCTGTCCGAGAACCCAGGCCGCTCTGATTTTCCAGCGCACACAGTGGGGCTACCATGCTGCTTTCCACTAGAGGCCTCTGGAGCTCTCACCTCCTGGCTTTTTGTTCCATTTCTCCCACTCCATTATGCTTTACATCTTGTTTTATAATCTGCTGCTTTATTATTATGACTTTGTTGGCAAAAAAAACAGAGGTTTTGTGAAGTTTTATAATGGCGCTTGGTTTTTTGATTGCTGGATTTTAGTGCCACATCATTTGTCATTTTTAACATTGCACTTTTATTGTATATTTTATAATCTTGTAAACCACACAGGGAGCCTTCCTGGCTAATGAGGTGGGATAAGAATCCAACCAATCAATCAGTCATTCAAATGGAAAAGAAAGTTGGACCCCTTCATCCCAAGTGCAGAATTTAATTTTAAGGAAGCTCTTGGGGGACCATTCCAGAGTGGTTGTTAGCAGTAGAGGCTAAAATACGAATCAATTTTAGCTTAAAGATCTTATTGCTGATAAGTAGGCCTTAGCAGAGGCATTTCAACCTTTTAGAATGGGGGGGGGGGGACTGCACAAAATCCAGGAAACTGCCAAACAATTGGTTGTTGAGGGAAAGGGGTGTGGCCACCTGGAAAACCCCAAAAATGCTTCGGCTGGTGCATTGGGGTGGGGGAAGAGAGCAAGAGCATGTGGCATTACCTGAATATCTGCCTCTTTTTCGGGAAGAGGTCCATGATGCATCAGGAGTTGTCTGAAGGTGGTGTCCCCATGGTCATAAAACCTCTGTGTTAGCTGGTATGTGTAGTCATGCAACTTCTGAAGCTCAGCCAGTTCTTCTCCTTCCACCTACTCCAAGAGATCAGTAGAAGGAAGATATCAGGAAGGCAATGGAGAAAGAACAGGGCAAGCACTGGACTGGGTATTTAGAGCAGACGAGCATGATGGAGACAGAGCGCGGTAAAAGCCAAAAATAAACACAAGTGATTTGAGATAAACTCAGTAATGTTGCTACACAGAAACAAGATGCATGGAGCAGGAAAACTCCAGGCTGGGCATAATTAGGAAAGGAACTGAAAATAAAATTCCACAGTCATACTTCCATTACACAAATCTGTTGTGCAACCACACTTAGAATATTATGCACAGTTCTGGACACGGTATCTGAAAAGGACTGTGGTAGAACTGAAAAAAAGGGCATAAAAGTGAGGCCAAAATGATCAAGGGGCTGGGCAGCTCCTCTGTAAGGAAAGGCTTAGAGAAAATGCACGTGATGGGAGTCATGAGGTGTACAAACTGATGCAGGGTGTGGAGAAAGTGGACAGGTAAACATTTTTATCTCATAATGCTAGAAACCTGAGTCATCCCATGAAGCTGATTGGTGGGAAATTCCAGGCAAAGAGAAGGAAGAGCTCCTTCACACCGTGCAGAGCTAAGCAGCAGAATTCCCTTCCACGAGATGAAACGACGGCCACCAATTTAGATGGCTTTAAGAGAGGATCAGACCAATTCCCAGAGAAGGCTGTCAGTAGCTACTGGTCCGGATGGCTCTATGAGCAGCAGATTGCAGGAGTGTCTTTGCTGCCTTCACGAACAATGAGCAGGGGCATTGAGCAAAGGAGGAAGCGTGCCAGGTGCGTGCTGAGAGCGGCTCTGTGCTGCCCCTGCTCATTGTTCACCAAGGGGGTGAAGACACTCCGGCGACCCACTGCATAGAGGAAGAGCACGCTGAGGGGCAGCTCCTCCTCTTCCCCGCTGTAATGGAGGGGGACATGTTGGTTCTTTGTGTGTGGTGGGGTTGAGAAGCTTCCTATAGCTGCTGCTGCAACCCATCTGGGACCACACGCCCTGTTCAGGACATTAAAGCAGCCACGATAGCCCAGCTAGAGACACTCACAAAAGAGGACTTCAAGAACAGTTTCAGAAAGTGGCCAGAACAATGGGGAAAGAGTTTTCAAAGCAAGGGGAGTGTTTTGGGGGGGGGGGGGGGGTTAATGGAAATGTGTCTTTTATTGTAATATTTTACTTAAACATGCACCTTATTTTTTGATCACACCTCACATATCATCTTGAACTTAATTGTTTCAGGAGGCCACATTTGCTGTTTTAGTTTATCAAAACGGGTATTTTTTAGAGTCTGGAAACGGATTAATTCATTTTGCATTATTTCTAATGGGAAAAATGATTCAGACTTTGAATGATTCAGAGTTAAGTTCGAAGTATGAGGCACCACTGTATATTCGATTAGTAAGTTAAAAGACAGGGTAATAATTTAGATGAACTTCCTTAGTTGTTTGGATCACTTACTTTGCATCTTTTCTGCACTGGCCCTTTAACCAATATGACGCTTCTCTCAGTGCAACCATTTAGTGGTGCAGTAACATGAACAACCATTTCAGGCACCCTGCAAAATAATATGGGAAGCTGCCAGATCTAGTCTGGCCGCTGGTCTGTCTAGTGCAGGAATGTCAACGCTGATTGGCAGTGGCGCTCCACTTTTTCAGGCGGGGTCCCTCCAAGTCCGACTTGAAGACGCCAGGGTCTTCTGCATGCGAAGCCAGTGCTCTGCCGGGCCTTCCAGCTTGGCAAAGGTGGCCTGTAAGTCAAGCCAGCCAGTGGAGCACAAACTTTTTCCGCCAGAGGAAATGCCATGCCCTCAAGTGTGGCGTGGCATGTTAAGGATGCCATAACCACAGCCTCTATGGCACAGCTCACATGGGACCGCTCACCTTCTCATCCTCCAGGTACTCAATATCAGCGGTGTTGTAGCCATCCCTGTGCCCACGACTCATGACCCGGAACCGCCGCTTGCCTATCGTGTCCACCAAAGATCGTCCGTCAGGCAGGAATGCTATTTTCTGGATCTCCAGCACACAGCCATAGTCAGCAAAGCTGAAGAGAGAGAAAAGTTATTTAGGGTGGACACACTTAGAAGAAAACTCTATTCACAAGGCTTGATGACTTCAGTCCTGGGCTATTACTTATTCCAAAACTGTGTGGCCACTGTAGGGCTACAGTTCCTCTTCACAAAGCTGGAAAACAACATTATTGTCATCTGTTCTGCAGGTTAGGAGCTGAGCCAGAGAGAAAAGGCTTGCCCTGGCTCTGTGGCTTGCCCTGGCTCATCCCAAATGCAGCTGCTATGAGCAGACCTGCCCCTTGTGAATAAGCACAGTCATGACCAAAATGCCTTCTTCTTTCTTAAGGGCACAAAAACCACCACATCCTTGGGCAGAACTCAAACCGAATGTCTACAACCCTTCTCCCTGCGTACCTTCTTAAGAACCTGGCTACGCAGTCCTCCTGCCTACAACATCCAGTAAGTGATGCCTTCTTGTGCCCATACTCACCCCCATCACCCTACACTTTGTAACGCCTTCCTTGATGAAGCGAGGTGGTGACCTCATAAGCTCCCACATTTTTGGTGATCTTTGTGTTGGCCTAATAAAGTATCACACAAATAAGGATTTTGGGATTTTTCTTACGGCCATCACAACTGCCTTTGCATTTGACATACCTTGCTGATTCCAAGCTGTAGCCCATGAGGGAAGCACCCTGTATCTTCTGTGTTTACTAAACACCTGCTGATTGCAGATAAGCAACATATTCACAATGACTGGGTTCCAACAACACGCAATGCCACATGGAACGGAAGTATGAATACGGCTTACTGGCAGGAAGTATTCTGAACCATCTAATAGTCCCAGAGGGTTCCGACAACATACTGGCACACACTCAAGGGTTGAGTATGGGCCGAGTGTGGACTTTTGTTGAACTTTGGGTTGTTGTATTATGTTGTCTGAATATAACCATGCTAACAAACTATGATGTGTTAATCCTGAACAGCCCACAATTCAGAACACAACAACAAACCATGGATTATTGAGTGTTAACAAGTCATGACTTGTTAGCTCACTTGGGTTTAGACAACACAATAACCCATGTTTAACAATAACCACTGAGTGTGGGTTAGCATGTTGTCTGAATCCTCTGGGACTATTCTGATCCTCTGGGCCAGAATTTTGTTGTTGTTAGTTGCAAAGTTGTGCTCAACCCATCACAACTCCATGGACAACATTGCTCCAGGCTCTCCTGTCCTCCAGCATCCCTCAGAGTCCACCCAAGCTCACATCCACTGCCCCAGTGATTCCATTTAGCCACTTCATCCTCTGCTGTCCCCTTCTCCTTTGGCCGACAATCGTTCCCACCATCAGGGTCTTCTCCAGTGAGTTGTTCCTTCTCATGAGGTGGCCAAAGTATTTGAGTTTCATCTTCAGGATCTGGCCTTCTAAAGAGCAGTCAGGGTTGATTCTCCTCTAGGACTGACCGGTTTGATCGCCTTGCGGTCCAAGGGACTCTCAGGAGTCTCCTCCAGCACCACCATTCAAAGGCCTCAATTCTTCAGAGCTCAGCCTTCCTTATGGTCCAACTTTCACAGCCATACATTGCAACTGGAAAAACCATAGCCTTGACTATACAAACCTTTGTCCGTAGGTTGATGTCTCTACTTTTTAGTATGCTATCTAGATTTGCCATAGCTTTCTTCCCAAAGAGCAAGTGTCTTTTAATTTCTTGGCTGCAGCCACCGTCTGCGGTGATCTTGGAGTCAAAAAAATAAAATCTGCCGCTTACCTCCATTTCTTCCCCATCGATTTGCCAGGAAGTGATAGGACTGGATGCCATGATCTTAGTTTTCTTAATGTTGAGTTTGAAGCCAACTTTTGCTCTCTCCTCCTTCACCCGCATCAAGACGCTCTTTAGTTCCTCTTCACTTTCTGCCATTAAAGTTATATCATCTGCATATCTGAGGTTGTTGATATTTCTCCTAGCAATTCCGACTTGTGATTCATCTAGCCCCGCCTTTCACATGATGTGCTCTGCATATAAGTTAAATAGGCAGGGCGACAGTATACAGCCTTGCCGTACTCCTTTCCCAGTTTTGCACCAATCAGTAGTTGCGTGTCCAGTTCTCACTGTTGCTTCTTGACCAACATACAGGTTTCTCAAGAGACAAATAAGATGGTCTGGTACTCCCATCTCTTTAAGAACTTGCCACAATTTGTTGTGATCCACACAATCAAAGGCTTTAGCAAAGTCAATGAAGCAGAAGTAGATGTTTTTCTGGAACTCCCTAGCTTTCTCCATGATCCAGCGTATGTTGGCAATTTGATCTCTAGTTCCTCTGCCTCTTCGAAATCCTGCCTGTACTTCTGGTACTTTTCAGTCCACATACTGCTGGAGCCTAGCTTGTAGGATTTTGAGCAAAACTTTGATAGCATGTGGAATGAGTGCAATGGTGTGGTAGTTTGAACATTCCTTGGCATTGCCCTTCTTTGGAATTGAAATATAGACTGACTTTTTCCAATCCTGTGGCCACTGCTGAGTTTTCCAAATGTTCTGGCATATTGAGTGAAGCACTTTAACTGCATTGTCTTTTAGGATTCTGAATAGCTCAGCTGTCTCCTCCATTAGCTTTGTTGTTGCTAAGACTTCCTAAGGCCCATTTGATCTGGTCCAGAATATTTATTGCCAAAAGTTCTATTCGCACTTTCCTTCCATGCACAGGGCTAATGTATGGAGAGGCGTGTGTCTCTCAATGGCCTAACGAGCCCCCTCTAGCTCTATAATTAAATGGTAAGAATATTTATGCTATTGCTTATTTCTGTTTTCCACTAGTGGGTTATTCCTGTTATTTTTTCCATTTTTGCTAATTGGTAGCAGCTCCCAGTTAAGTTATACTGAAGGTGAAGTACCGTATTTTTCCATGTATAAGACAATACTTTTCTTTAAAATATTTATCTAAAAATGGAGGGGCATCTTATACATGGGGGGCTGAGAGGAGAACCACGGGCACAATGGGGAGGGAGACTGGCGTGATCAGGGCATGCTCGGGGGAGAGGCAGGCGTGGGGAGGCAGCAAGGCAGTGGGTGCGCACACACATGCGCAGCAGCAGCTTGCTCGCTCGGAGATCGGTAAGAAAAGTGGGGGGTGTCCTATACATGGGGGTGTCTTATAGAGGGAAAAATACAGTATGAAGATCAGATTAGCTCCTTGCTCTACTTTTCTGGCACCTCCGCAGAACTGTTAGGTTGACTGTGGGCCTGGAAGAAGCCTGCCCCGAGCGTGAGGACCAGCCAGCTCAAAACGGGCCACTTACCTCTTCCCGTTCTCAAACATGCACATGCCAAACATCTTGGTGCCTGTCTCCTGACATCTTCGCATCATGAGGCGGTAGCGGGGCTCAAACACATGAAGGGGACACACAATGCCTGGAAATGACATTGTGCACACAAAGATGGGGATATTCTTGGTCAGGCTGCAGAAGGAAGATGGAAGCCGCATGATCACATGTCTTCAGCGTGGATACACAGGAATGCAAAAGGGTAGGAAGCTCCACCAGCCATCTTTTACGCATATATTCTATGACCTGGATGGAAACCTCACTTCAGTTGCAGAGAAGCCTCGGGGGCCATAATTCTGTGGTGGGTGGGACTGGAAATAAGTATGTTGGGGCCAAGGGAAAAATACAATAATACCAGCATATTGCTCCTTAAAGCTCTTACTGCTGACAGCTAACACTTAACAGAGGTATTTCAACCTTTTAGAAAAGAAAACTGCACAAAAGTCAGGAAACAACCAAAGGATTGGTGAGTGGGGAAAAGGAAACAGGAGGAAGGGTGTGGCCATCTGCAGAAGTCGCCTGCAAGGGTCAAATTGGGCCAGCTGGGTCTGAACTTCCCCATTACTGCCCAATGAAATTGTGCAGCTGATATAACAGCCCTCACACAAGAGTAATCTAGGCAGCTGTAAAGTGCTTCTCTTAACAAAATGACAAGAGCTGAATGCAGAATATGAGTTTTCGGTCACTGCTATACCCTCTTAATATCTTCTGTATGTGCAGGGCCTATCAGGGCTCACTCTACCCCCACCTTTCGGTCCCTGCCTGGCACCTGTCATTCATTCCCCATTAAATGGCCCTGCAGAGAACTCCCCACCTCCCCTGGATGCATTCGCCCAGCAGCACAGACACAAGGGGAGGGCCTCCCCCAGTCCCAACGCAACAAGGGGCCCGGATGCCATGCTCACGGAATCATGCGCCTTGTGATTCCAACATGAGGGGCTATCAGGTCCCCTCATGCCAACAGAGCCCCTTGCTTTCAGCGCTCTAGACATGCCATTCTTCCAACAGGCACGGGGCATGTAAACTGCAGTGCTGTGGCAGAGCCTCCCTTACGGAAGAAGGGGACAGCGAGAAGGATGAATATAAGGTTGTGGAGCGCCTCATTTCCTCCTATAATTTGAAATTATAATTTTTGCTAGTTTCCAGGGTGGATAATATTGATCAAACTCATGGATTACATAGTGAGGAAACTGTGAACTTACAACTGTAAATTGCAATACAACTATACTAAAAGAAACTAAGGAGAACCTACACTAGAGAGAACATGAGTGGTCTCATCAGTCCCCATTCCTGAACTTGGTACATCCGAGATGCTGCTGTAGATTTCCTAGGCTGAACATGGCTTGAGTTTTTAAGACCACTGTGGATGCCTTTTTTCTTGGGAAAAGCATCATCACCCACCTGTGACATTCTTCCCCAATCTCATGCCCCCCATGGACCCCCAACTCCCATCAGTCCCAACAGAAAAGCCACAAAGTATTGTTCAAAATATCTGGGGTGGGGGACCAGATTGGGAACATTACAATCTTATCCACACATACCTGGAAGCAAGCCCCATTCGGCTCAGTGGGCTTAATTCCAAGCAGACATGTATAGTATTATGCTACTTGAAACTATAGTGAGATGACAACCCCCTTCCCATACTATGCATGCGCGCACACACACAGGCCTCTGTTTACTTTGAAAGTTCTGTCATTTCAGCCTGGTGGACCAACTTCCTTTCTGCCAGTTGTGAGGGAAAGACAGCGGTCATGAGTTCCTCCAGCAGCACAGTGGTGTTGTATTTCCCAGCCCTCAGGTACTGGAAGAAACCAAAGGCAAGACGTATTGAGCAGGTAGGAGAAGATCAGGCCCAGTGTTCTGTTCACACAGTGGCCAAACAGCAGCACACAAGAGAGGCACAAGCAGAACGCAAGTGCAGCCCCGCTTCGTTCCCCAGAAAGTGGAGTGCACAGCCATTTGGCTTCTGAAGGCCCAATCAGCAGGAGACTAGCAGCCAGTGATAGGCCTCTCTCCATGGATTCGGCCAATCCTCTTTTAAAGCCATCCAAATTAGTGGCCGTCACCACATCGTGAGCAACTAACTTCCATTGTTAAAATACATGCAGAAGTGAAGATGTGCTTCCTTTCATGTCATCCATCAGCTTCATGGGTTTACCCAGGTTCTACTTTACATATATATATATTTATAACATTCCTATCTGGCCTTCTTTCCTTTCAAGGAACTCAAGGCGGCTTATATAATTCTTACCTTTACCCTCACAAGAACCCTGCAAGGTAGGCTGGGCGGAGAGTCTGTGCCTGGCCCAAAGTCACCCATTGAGCTCCATGGTGGGGACTCTGGTGGGTCCTAGTCCTGCACTCTTAACCAGGGCTGGGTCCCACAGTGGCTCTCAAGAAACGGAGCTAAATGTTTCACTATCAACAATCTCTATCCCATATTTAATTTTGTGTAGCTCTATCATGTCTCCCATTACAAGCTTTTTGTTTTCGTCTTCTTCAGAGGGGAGCCCTTAGATCATATTAGCTGCACTTTTTCACAGTTACTCTAACTGTGCAAATTCCTCCCCACTCCAGTACTTCCTGGGCGGTTTATATCCGGGGGTGATGGCATCCCTCTGGTTCTCTCCATTCTCCATGTCTAGGTTCTCCTTTTAAACCAGGCTCTCCAGATTTTTTTTCAGAGAAAGTGCCTATAGCACACCTTTAACTGGATGTCTTAGAACAGTGATTCCCAAAGGGGGCAGTAAGGCCCCCCAGGAGGCAGCGGAAAGACGTCTGTTTGAAATTTGCAGTAGAGCAATAGACCCAATACAAAGAAAGAGTCATAGGGGTTCTAGGGTTGTTACCCAAGAGGAAAGGGGACAGCAGTCCAAAAAAGTTTGGGGACAACTGTCTTAGAGGGACCACTCTTTGTTTTTCTTCTTTTCAAATTGTGAGACCACTCCCCCACCCAGGAAGTTGTAGTCTAGCTTTCGCAAGAAAAACTACAGCACAGAATCCACCCCAGTACCAGAGGCTCTATGCTTCCCTACATAAGGCATTTATTGTGTGCTTGTGATCTCTCATTCACAGAAGTCTTCCGGGCTTCTCTAGTATTTTCCAGACTTTTTTGAGACCTTTATTTATTCATTTATTTACTTTCGGTGAGCAAAGTCTGGTATTAAAATTCAAACCATAACAAAACCTTGAGTAAAGTCACAGTTCTGCTATGCTTCAGCTACCTAACACCACCACTGTGTTGTTGCTTAACAGAATACAGGGTGGGCCAAAAGTAGGTATACAGTACTGATTGGGTCATGTTTAGTCATTCAGCTGCTCAAAACCTCCTCCATCAATGTCACAACATTGCAGGGACTTGTCCCCAACACTGTGACACCAATCCCACCCTGTCGATTGGTCGATAAATGTCGATAAATGCTTTCGAGACGAACTCCTTCAATTCATCTACTGTATGCCCTGATCAGTACTTTTGGCCCACCCTGTACATAGAAAGGCAGCTAAACTCACATTCCAGTGGAGGAAGCATGTAAAGGATGCATTTTTGCTCTCATAATGAAAATGTAAGATGCCTCAGCAAAGTGGCAGTTTAAACCCTTGTGCAGAGGAGCCCTCTGTTCAAAGCTATCAGGTTAATCTTCTCCAATGTTTCCAAAATAATTTGAAAAAATGTGGAAGTTTTTGCTTCTTTATGCTTTGTAGTTAAGGAAATAGTTCGTCAGCTACAGAGCCCATTAAAGGTCAGCTCCTACTCCTTGAGCAGAGTCTTGCATTGCAATACCTTTAATTCCCAAGAAATGGGAGAAGGGGGCAAAAGAGAACTCATGGCCTCCTTGCTTCCTCCACACGGGATGTAATCAACTGGCAGCTGCTACAAAGCTGCAGCTCTGGAAAGGCCAAAACAAGGGGGCAGCTTGTCAGGCTGAAGCATTTGCACAGGAAGGAAATCGTCCCTGCTCATAGCAGGTTGTCTGTCGAGGGTGATCGCAGGCAAGAGACTGCAGGAAGCAGTCTGCGGCGCCAGCCTGCTGCTGGTTCGCTGCACAATGCCTGCTGCATGCAGGATCATGTGCGACACCAAGAACGGCCACCTAGGATCCAATAGGTGCTAACGCTGCTTTCCCACATGATCCTATAGAAGGGAAAACATGCAGCTGGCTTGCCTGTGTGAATCAACCCTCCCTATTTCTCCCATTCTTTTAACACTTGTCTGAGAGAAGAAATCCTCACTGTTTGCAGGAGGATAGTTTGCTCATGTTTACCCTTTTTCATAATGAGGCATGTCACAGACTTCCCCTTTCAACAGCATTAATTTTGGAGAGGAAATTTTTGGCTCAGAGGATCCTGTGAACTGGAAACTCAAAAGCACAAGTGAACGTTTTCCCATTTATTGAAAGTGCTTCCACTTGTTTCCCTACCCCAACATCAACATTTAAGGTAAAATTCAAGGAAAGCCAGTGTGGTGTAGTGGTTAAGAGCGTGGGACTGGGATTCAGGCGACCTGGGTTCAAGTTCCTGCTCAGCCATGGAGCCAATTGGGTGACTTTGGGTCAGTCACAGACTCTCAGCCCAACCTACCTCAAGGGGTTCTTGTTGTGGGGATAAGATTGACAGCAGGAGGAGGAAAATGATGTAAGCCACTTTGTGTTCATAAGTAAAAAGCTGGATATAAATCAAATAAATAAATCAAATTCAGTCTAAGTCCTACCTAGTGGATCCACAAATATTTATTTGACTTGTATGCTGTCCCATTAACCATGAGGTTCTCTGGGTGGATCACAATATAGTATGCAACAGTTGAAGCAACAGCTTAAGTCCTATTTATTTTAGTTGGTCTACTCTAAGTAAGACTTACTCTAGATTTTACCCTTAATGCTTGCTGCCTGATGGCCCATGCACAGTTATAGTAACAAGGATCAAATCCATTCTGATTCAGCACTTGGTGCTGAGAGCTTTTGTCACATGGTCTCAACACACAGAGCTGTGATTTTTGCTGCTGCTGTTCGTTACTAATGGCTTGTCGATTTTTCCCATTCGTCAGTGCAAAATGAGTGGTAAACATCTCCTTCACCCCACCTTCCCTCTCTCCCTTCTTCACAGCAAAATAGTTATAACCCAAAAGGCAGACATCTTGGCAGTGCTCGCTGCCATAAACCGGACAGAGCCCATTCCTTTTATGCAGGAGTCAGAAGCATCGAAGGCCTGTCCTAGGAACACTTAAGCGATAATTATCCCACTCAACAGTGAAACTAGAGGGCAAAGAATGTCCCTGCTAACATGCAACGCTTGGATCCAACTTCCTTCTGCTGAGCAGATGCTGCTGGCAGGACGGATCTTCTTCATCCCAGATCAGCTCTGCAGGGTTGGGGGGCCCTCTGAAGGAGGCAAGGAAGGCCTGTTCCACCCGCTGTATCTATGAAAGGAAGAAGCTGGTCCCCAGCCAGAGTCTCCAGTCTCTTCTTCTCCACCCAACAGAAGGAACAGCTCCAGCCAGTGACAGGTGTGGGGCTTCCTTCGGGTCCACAGCTTACCTCTCTGAGGCTCTGCTTGCAAAGGGGGCAGTTGGGCCTGTGGTCAAGGCAGCGCTCCACACACTCCTTGCAGAAAGTGTGCCCACACGGTGTCGTCACAGGCTCAAAGAACATCCTGCAGAAGAAGCAGAGGAAGAGACCGTCCCTCACTAGCACGTGCCACCCTGAAGGCAAAGGTCAGCATCACAGGAGCTTAGTGCAGCTTGCGCTGTGATATGCAATGAAGGACTGGATGGGAAGCACTAAGTTGACATGTGCAAGAAGTGGGGGGCAGAACTAGTGAGCAAGAGATATTGTCTCTACGGCTGTCAGTACCTTTGCCCTGATTTTGAACAGAGAGACTTCTATTTTTCCCATCTGGACAATGGAGATCTTCAATACCCAGCAATGCACATTTGCTTTGGACAGGCGAAGGGGCAAGGAAGTTTGATACATCAACAGCATACACAATGCAGCAAATTCAGTAGCTGGATCCACCAAGTTAGGTCTGACAGCACGCAGGGATTTATTTCTGAAATATGAATAGTACTAATTCCAAAGATAATTACAGTGTCCTATAAAGCAGGTGAATGGGAAATGTGTTTACTTGTATTTTATCTGCTCAGCAGAGTTGCACAGCAGTGACCAATTCCAACAATGCCAGACTTTAAGAGGAGATGTTCACCATGAGAAGGAGATTGCTACCACCACAAGACCAACAAAGCTGACACATAACTGAAGTTCTGCTACTATCTGGAAGCTTATCACAACTCCCCCTTCCCCTGCTGCTGCCCACCACCAAATGTCTGGCCGACTGGGCCCTTCCTCAGCACAGAGATTGTGATGACTGGAGAGATGCTCCAAGATGCTCCAGCATCTTCCTGGATGCTGCTCTTCCAGGGCAGCCACCCATCTTCTAATGCTCAGGCTAAACAGAGGATGAGCAGCTGCCCTGCAGGGGAGCCCAGGAACATAGGAAGCCACCTTACATCGAGTCAGACCATTGGTCCCCGGAGCTCAGTACTGCTGACCCTGACTGGCAGCAGTTCTCCAGGATTTCCGGCAGGATTCTTTTCTGACCTTATTAGGAGATGATGCTGGGGATTGAACCTGGACCTTCAGTATGCAAAGCGTGTGAATGCTGGCCAATCCCCTAGCTGCTGAAGTGCCTAGGAGACCGTCCTGCAAGGCAGGGAGTCTCTTGTGAGGCATTTCCCACCAGCACAATGTCTGAGTCTGAAGAAGGATGCACTCAGAGGCAGGCAATTGGTGGCAGGCAGACACAAGTGGCCACATTCTCCTGCCATGGTGAATCTCCAGAGGATGGTCTGCAGTGGCAGTGAGAGAGTCCTAGAAACTGTCAGGGCCCTCTGAGGCAATAGACCCTGGACAGCTGCCCAGCTTTGTCAAATCCTGACTCTAGGCCTGATTATAACCACATGCCAGCGACTCCATCTGTCAGCTTCCAAAGAAACTCTCTGGCACAGTCCCCTTCAAATTGTTATAGGGAAGGGGTTATTCCTGTGCTTGGAATAAAGTAAAATATTTGCCCAGCATTGTTTCAAATGTGTGCGCATGTGTGTTCACTAAAATTCCCAGCTCTTACATAAAACTTGTCTTTTCTCTCCATCTTGCACCATCAGCCCATCAGGCAATTTGTTAGAAGTGCCAACCCCTGGAAAACATTCAGCGGGAGAGCCAGGTTTTGCCAGGTCTCAGCTAAGGGAAAAGTGCCCTTTTCTGTGATTGGTATCCCTTCCAGTGAGGGTGTCACTGAAAGGTGGCAACCTATTAAAATATAGCGAGCTTTCTGGGAAGGAGCCCAAAAAGCTCATGGGGACAGTTCAGTCTTTGCAAGAATGAGGCTCCAGACTTGCGCCTGTGCTGGCACTGATGCCAGGCGGCACAGGTGAGGGAGAGTGATCCCTCGAGAGAGTCCAGTCCTGCTTCCCCACAGGAGGCCCAAGCAAGAGCATGCCCACGAGGCCATTTCCTGTACCCGTGGGTCAGTATCAGGCCACGCCACACAGAGCGTGGGAAAGATCCCTCTAGGACGTGTGATGGTGCACACACCCGTCAGCCCACAAAGGTCCCACTGACAGTCTTGTCAACTCAAGCAAGTGAAGTACTGGGGCTCCCGTGTGGTGCCCATCAACACCTCTCTTGGTGGCTGCCAGGCTCCCTGTCCCTTCTCCTCTTACAGTATTTCTCAAGGAATGTTTGTAAATAAAAATAACTGGAAAGTCAGCAGGTTTCAGCATGCTGTCCTCCAGCGTCCTCTTTCAGAAGAGTAATCTGTATGCTGGAGCTCAGACTCCACCTCTGCTTTGTACTTTGGTTCCTGGGCAAGTTACTTTTCTTTTGGCCTCCGGAGTTTGCTTTCTGAAAAACGAGTGCATAGTGACTGGCCGTACCCACCAAGGTAGCCAGTGGGCAAGACCTGACACTCTCTCACAATCCCAGACAGGACCACTGACACTGGGGACCCCAGTGAGACTCACCACAGGCACTGTTGTGGGAGGCCAGTCTTTTTCCCCACACTCTCCTTCCAAGCTAATCAAAACAAAAGGCTTCTAGCGACATCTTTACTATGCTAAAGATGGCCAGCTAGGCTGCTTTGTGATACAAAAGGAGCACTGACGAGGTTCTTAGTCGAACACACCAGCAAAGTCAGAATATCAGCTGTTAGTCAAATGTGGCTCACGTGATGAAGTTGGTTCCAAACAGAATCTCTCTCCTTTCTTCCATCAGAGTTGGGTCTACCCTCAGGGTCACAAGGTGAGAACATCAGATTCTACTTAATCTGCTCTTTTGATCTGACTCCAGACTATGGAACTAATCATCCATCATCCTCTAACTCCACTTGTTCGACAGAATTTCGCACCAAACCAGCCACGCTCTGATTCTCGGCAGCCTCTTGGCTTATTGCTGGGCATCGTGACCTTGGAAGTTTAGCTAAGAGTTGCAACCCACCTCTTCTTTCAGTTCTAAGGCAGATTCTGAGGTAACAACCTTGAAAAGCAGACCTAGTCCCCACAATTGTGTGTACATAAGCAGAAATTAAAATGTTAGACTGTAACACAGGACTTTATTTATTGCATCTGTAGTCCTGAAAAACCACCTTAATAGCATATTTTGAGTCTGCATACTGGGTAAGAACCATCCCTATTTTTCTAGTATGAACCAGAAATAAAATTAGATAATTTCCAGACCAGAATGGTGAACTCTCGATGGTTCTTAGTGAATTAGGACCAAGCAATATTAGGAAATGAAATGACCAGGCTTGCCTGGACAGAAGCAGTGAGGCACAATCTACAGAACTGTCTTACAGTTGATATGAAATGAATTGTCCCATGGAAAAAATGATTCTGATTAAACAGAAGTACTCGGTGTGCATTCTCACTGTGCATTAGCAGCCACAACTTTCTGCATTGTGTATAACTACACTCTGTAAGCATGTGTCAATGTGGCATGATGCAAGCCGCTGTCACTTACCTCCTCATGCCATCACACCCAGTAAGAGGGCACTCCCAGAGAGCCGAGATGTCCAGAGGGAGGAAGCGAATACAAAATGCTGCTTGTCGGCCTGCCTGTGGTCCTGTCCTGGTATACCCATCCTTTCATAACCAGGTTTTCAATTTCAAATTCAGACATTCAAAAGGCTCAACTTCTGGCTCCTTCACTAATAGAAATGGCTTCTGGGTTGTTGCTGTTGTTCTTGTTCAGTGCAAATCACATTGCAATCTTACATGTTCTTACTCAAAAGTAAGTTCACTGAGTACAATAGAATTTACTCTCAAGTAAGTGTGTATAATCACACACACTGGCAGCCACCACAGGCAACTAGTGGCTTTTCTTCTGTATTACGCAGCATTTTTCATTAGTCTTTTCCCCATTCTGGATACCAGAAAACTACTGCTTCAACCCCACTGACACACAATCATGCAGTTGTCCTTAACTAAAGTTTAGGTGGATGATCCTTGCTTACAGAGCTGATAATGCAATAAAGACAATGACTTAGGGGCATAAATCCCCCTTAACATCAGCCTGTTGGCTTGGCTTGAGGGAATTAAGCTTTTAAATCTACACACAGAGCTCATCCCCAAAAGTATTAACTCAGGCATGAGCTCATATTTCTCCTCACCATTTCCTTGACTGATGGAGAAAGGGTGGGTTAGAAAGGGTTAATCTAAGACGAGTCAGTCAAGAGATGTGTTTAATTGGACAGCTAAGAGAGGAGATGTGGTCTGACCCCTACCACTTCTAACACAGAGCCCACCTCCAGGCTGCCATACAAGACTCCAAAGGGAACAAGAGTTAAGAGGTTAAGTTAATCAAACACAGAAAACCTTGTATGACTTTTCATTGGGGAGAAAGGAAGAAGTGCTAAAAATATGTATATGCATGGAAAAGTGGGGGACGAAATGAGCATAGTTCTTGTGCAGTCCAAAACTTGACCCACTTTAGAGCAGAAGAAAATGCATTTGCAATATGCCAACCTTTCTCAACTTGGTGTCCTCCAGATGTGTTGGACTCAACTCCCAACATGGCCTGGGGATGATGGGAGTTGCACTTAGAACAGCTGGAGGACACCAGGTTGGGGAAGGCTCCAGGAACCTCCTTTGAAAGAGAAAAGGCCACAAAGAAACAAGAAAACAATGTAATGATGAGCCACTGCAAGGACAGGTGCTGAAACTGAACAGCAAAAGCACATCTACGTAATACTTATGGAATGAAGTGTTCGCATATTTCATTGTTTCTGGGTCTTTTTGTCCTCTTCAGAAAAAAAAACTGAGAAAATTAGCTTCCAAATTTTCAGAATACTTTTAAATCTCCAATTTATACGTTTATATCTTGCATTCTACTTTCTACCCTTAACAATTCCCATCAATACTAACATTGCAATGGTTGAGGGACGATGCAACTGCAGGCCAACATCTCTTCAGGGGCATAAATTGCTCATGCCTGCTTTAAAAGCTGGCTATAACATTAAGCAAAAACTCTTAAAAAGTTGCCATAACAAGCTAAAGCGAGCCTTTATCCAACAGTCATTATTGCTACGCTGCTACAAACTTACCGTATACACAGAGAACATTCCAAATCTGATGTACTCAGAAGGCCTCCAAGGTCTAGTAGATAATCTTCAGCAGGTTCTGTTCCTATTGTATCTGCTGATGCGCCTTTCTCCCAATCTAGTATGGGAAAGGAAAAAGTAAGAGGAAGATGTTGAATGTCACCTACTGACCACATCGCCACCACACCCTGCCTGAAGGGTCGATCCCAAGAGCTTCGATGTTGCAACACGTTTGTGACAACACAGATGAAGTTCCAGATCTGAGAGAAGGAACCCATACCTTCTGTGTCCCTGCAGTTTAGCACTCTTAAGGCCAACACTGATCTCACGTTATATCGAAACAGCAAGGAAAATTATACCAGGTAAGGGTCATACCCTTTATGGACACCCAAGATCATGGAAGTCAGCATGGAATGCATGTACCTGCATGACGCAAGTAATCGTGATTCACGGTGCTTCCCTCATGAACGTGAACTCAGTGGCAAACCCAGATATATGTCAATGAATATATGAAGTGGCCCAGTGAGGGGGGTTAGCCACTTAGCAACAAGGACTACTAGTTATGGCGGCTGTTGAATCCCTCTGGCTGGGGGAAAAGAGCAGGAGGGCGCTACTGCACCCATTCCCAGAGGCCACTAACTGGCCACTAGCCAAGTTAAGGCCTTTGGTCGGACCCAGCATGGCCTCCCTTTTGTTCTTTAACCTTTGCAGCATGGCAGAGACACCCCAAGGCATTACATGTCGCAGCCCTTTCCCAGGCTATCCCTTGAGCAGCTCCCAGTTTCAGCAGACCAGAAACAATGCTGCAAGAAAACCGTGGTGTTTGCCACAGACCTGGCATGTTCTCATAGGAAGCTATGGGGAGCCTTGCTGGGTCAGGCAAGGGCCCAGCACATCCTGCATTTTGTTCCCACAGTGGCTAAGCAAGTCCTTGTGGGAAACCCAGAAACAGGACAAGAGTGCAAGACGGCTCTCCGGCTCTCCAGCAACCGGGGCACCAACGTCTCTGACGCCGAAGGCACTTCACAGTCATAGGACACGCCATCGCCTTATCTCCTGGGACTCCTGCCCTTGACACAGTTCTGCCCTAGGAGTGTGCAAGTACTTCTGTAATTGTTGAGATTCTCAGAACCTGCCCTTCTAGGAAGCCTGAAGAAGTGGTCTACTTCAGGCACTATCATGCGGGGTTGAGTGGGGACAGTATCAAGACAACAATGGCTTCTGAACAGTGTGGCAAAACTTTGGTAACACAGAGGTCGCAGCAATGTGCACCTGACTTTCTGTGACAGAGGTACCTGGTAACATCCTGGGACACTTCCTTCTGCCTTTTGGAAGCCATTTCGGCGAACCTGCCCTAGCCTTCCTCCAAATTCCTCTACCCCAAAGTAACTGTATCCTAATCCTAGAAAGGCCAGATGACTAGCAATGTAACTAGCACCCCACTGGTAAAACAGTTGTTAGACTCCTCATGCAAATTATGTAAATAACTCCTCATGCAGATTATGTAAATAGCATCTCTGCACCTCCAATACGTACTTTAATACAAGCTGTAAAAACTGGCAGATGTCATTTAGACAACTATACTTCTGCTACCATAGCCTCATACAGAATTAGGTGAAAGTGAATTGAGAAATCTTTAATTATTTTTCCAAGACAGAAAGAGACAAGAAACTCATTTGTCAATAATATGGACCTACAGACATTTTTTTCACTAGATCTATCCTTACCTCCTTCCTTCTTTGCAGAAAAATCTGAGCTTGACCTCTTTTTTGACCACTCAAGCAAGGGAAGTGCCGCCTGGCTGTGATCAGACAGGGTTTCACCCAGACAAATTTCCTTCAAGTCCTATTAAGAAAAACAATGAGTTAAACACCTCTTTTTCAAGAAGACCGAGGAAAACGAGAAAGACACACATGAAAGAAAATAAAAAGATGAGTTTTAAAAGCTTCTTTAGATTCCCTGCAGTAGTCAGATTCCCATTTGGCAAGCACATGTGTACACACACTTCTTGACTTTTTGAGGGGCACTTTATTGCAGGACAACATTTCCTAGGAACAACTCTCCACTTATCTCATTTTGCCTAAGATCCTTAACTCTGCAGTGAGGACAGACTGCATTCAAGGAGTTGAATGTCCAAGGGAATTGTCCAAGCAGGGAATTGTCCAAGCAGTGAGCTGCTGGTCCATACGCTGTGTGCATACGTAAGGTTTCTCCACACAAACCCTCCAAGAGTTTAGTGAAGGCGAAGGGATTCATGGGCTCCCATGGCCTAGTCTCACCCACTGTTGAAACCATTCCTGCATGAAGGTATGCAAGAAGACATTCTTTGCACACACAGATGTTTGCACAGAGAGCTCCTACAAGCAAAGAGGAACTCCACCAAGGAAAGGGGAGGCAATGTGCAGTTCTGGTGATAAGCACGGGCAGGTAACACGGCTCAGGAACCTCTCATTCATGGGACGGGGGGTCATGTGAAGGTCCCCGCAGTGATATTCCATCTGCATCTCCCTTTTCTAGGCCTGGGGAGCTTCCAGAAGCAGGATCCCTAGATAGATATCATGATAAATTAGTTTCACTTTGTTTTTGATCAAAATTTCTCCAGTTTTCACCTTCCGGGCAGAACACTGGCTAAGATGCAATGTGTGGTTGAAGTCTACAGATTTCCAAGTTTGCAATGCAATTTGCAGGTGAAAGATGAATGCATTCAACAGCATTCATACATACATGAAAAAATGTACTTTAAAGATTATGAATAAATATACTTGAAACAATGGGAGAAGAATGTATACATTTCAAACATGTACACAAATGATGCTTATTTTTTTTAAGAAAAAACATGAGCCTATTTTCACGCAAGAAAAGAAAAGCTCACAATCTGATATGGACTAAAGTTGGAATGAGTTTCAGGACAGAAACAAAGAACTTTGTTAAGCTTGAGTTTTGCTGATTTGCACTTACCCAGTCCAAGTCCTAGCCACTAGAAGACAGTGTGCAAATATTTTATCTTCTTTCCCTCTATGAATTTTCAGTAAGAAAAATGACAGAAGTGGCTGGATAACAGGAGCCCATGTGAGTTTCCATGAATGAGGCAGGGCATGATAAAAGCCTCACCTGAAAGCACCCTTGTCATTGGTAGAGATACCAGGCTGTGCTACTCACCTGTAGGGGTTCTCCTTTCGGAGACACAAGCAAAGTCAGCTCTTTCCCTGAATTAGACCCTTTCAAGTTCTCACTAATATCACTCTTTAGTTCTACAACAGTCCCTGGAAGAGGGGAGGCATCATCTGTGAGAATCTGATAATGAGAAAAATTGTTACTTTACTTTTGAAAAGAGAGATAGCACAAGGTAGAACTTAAATTTTAAGTAATGCTAAATGTACATCTTTCTCCCTTTCATCACAGAGGTTTGTTAAGCTAGCCAAACACAGATTTCAGTGGTCTTGGGTGATACTACTAAAAGTGCAGGACAGTATTATTTCTAGGTTTTTTTTTTCTTTTCTCTGAACAAAGATACCCTTTTTGTAGCTCTTAATAGATTACTAGCAATATGCATAATAGAATACATACACAATGGTGCCAAAAGGCCAAAATAGGAGCTTATATGAAGATGCAATGCATATGCCTTTTTACTCAACTGTAGCCATACACACCTAAAAAAGCCATCTGAGAAGAAATTCATTTGGGGTCATAGTATATATAAAGTAACAATTCAGTTAAAGTATTAATTTGGTCTTACAGCTGGTCAAAGAGATTATCCCATATTTTAATAATGGAAAAATCTTGATGTTCCTTGCTTTCAAACAATTTGCTCAGGCACAACTTATACATTACATGTTCTATAACACAGTGAGTTTCATCTTAGTTTGCTGGAATCCTAGCAAGCAAAGTTCAAGCTCTTGCCAATGCAATCAGCTGTGTTTAATATGAATCCAAGCGGCCATTCGGAGTTTACCTTTTCTAACTCATACTGAGCAGCATGGAAACTGGGATTCAGTGTAAGGCAGTGCTGGAACTGCAACAGAGCCTCTGATGGCTTCCCCATTTCCAGGAACACTTTCCCCTTCTTAAAAAAGCCCTGCAGAGGAGAAAATGGCAAATGTTTAAACAAAAACTTGTAGGTTTCCTGATCTTTTACATTATTCTGCTATGATGCAAAGCTTTGCATCCTTATCAAGGTCCCCAGATCACTCCCAGCTCCTCTAGAGGTGGCAGGGAAAGAACCCTGCCCAAAATCCTGGAGAGCTGCTGACAGTCAGCACGGATTTATAGCCTCCTCAGTATAAGGCCAGATCCCATGGGCCTCAACTTGGGTTAGGAAATGTTCTCTCAAGATACTCTCAACCAAGAAATAACAGTTCAGAAACATACCTGAATTGAGAGATGATAGAACAGATAAGAAGTTTGTGTATTCAGACCCCCAACTTGGATAGCACAGTGGCAATGCTTTAATGCTTTAAGGTTTTTTTTTTTTTTTTGGCCAATACATCACCCCATCCCTGCAAAAGATGTATGCAACTGAGACTTTGTTTCAGGACCCCCTGTACCACAGATGTTTCTGGAGTTCATTCCAAGTCACATGCTCAGTGAAAGGAAGGGTGCCTAGGCTTGTTATGTAGTGTAATATATCTGGTAATCAGGGATAAACTGTGCTTTGCAAGCAACTGGTCCATTATTCTGTTTTCTCACCATGGAGACCCTATTGATGCTTTGGGGTGCAACACCTGTTCAAGAAAGGTGGCTCTAGCTAGCAAGTACTGACCATCCAAGTTCCTTGGAAAACCAAGTAATTCCTTCTGCATCCAGTGCTATCCCCCATTAACCTTGGCGACCAGCCACTGACAACATGTCTCTGTGTAATCTTTCCATTTCTGCCCAATATGGTCACAAGACTCCCCAGCTTAGAAGTCTCACCAAAGGAGAAGCCCAATACGCTTCTCAAAACCATTCATGCCTTCTCCATCCAAGCTTTGATTAGGATTACACAGGTAGGGGGTTATCTGATCAGCTAACCTAATGTCTCTTTTTCCAAGGAAAAGCTCTAATCTAATAACAGAGGGGGAAAAACAGAATTGCAATGCTAAACTTTTTAGAAATTAAAATAAAATCAGATACTAACAGATAAAAATGTTGTCTGAGAAGCAAATTTCAGTGGAGCAGCAGTCAACAGACCCAATAAAACATCAGGACTGAAATCATTTAAAGACTTCGTGAACAAAAAAAAATTCTAAATGACAGCACAAAGGCCATGCTAATTGAACGGGGCTGGAGGAGCGCAAGGACAGGATGCTACTACCTAAAAAGTGGTGCCATTCACCTCCTCTCTCTGAAGGCCCAGATACCCACACTAGGGCCTCTTAAGACAATCTTAATGAAGGAAGTAACTCAGTGATTGAGAAACAGAGAGGCCAACAACCAAGCCATGAAGCCTGTCTGAAGGAATGTGGAGGGGAGAGAAGATGATGATGACTTGAAAGGAAGTGTGCTACTTCCTATCTCATCCTCCCAGTTGTTTTATGAGACAGGGGGTCATAGGGCAAGGTGAACTACGGAGAGTGAACTAGTGAACTTGTAGTTAGAAGCACGCAGGCGTAATAGGTTGATGAATCTTAACTCACACACCTTGAATAGACAATGGGCTAATTATACTGCACATGTGATGTATGTAGGTGTATGTAGTGGGATGCAACGGGAGATATGAAGTAGGCAGACGGAAGGACTGTAACCTCCTAGTACCTTACCCAATGAGGGAAAGGGGGAGGACTGTGGTGGACAGGTTGAGGAGTAAAAGTAGCTGTTTTGTGTGTTTGTACTTTAGAGAGATTCTGATAAGAGTGGGCTCTCCCCGTCTATTGCAATAAACAAAGGAAATGCCTCACTCTGTTGGTAGTCTTAGTTATTTAACTTGAGGAGAAGTATTTTTGCAGCTTTTTGCATAACATTAACAATGCAACAAGTCTTTATGGTAGAAAGAAAACCTTTGTGTGCTTGGCTCCCAAGCTATTTTAAATTTATATCCACTTATACAAGAAATGTCACCCATGACAATAATTATATTGTGCTACCTTGGGTGACTTTTTTCCTGGAAGAAGGGTGTGATAGTAAATAGATAAATAAATAAAATACTTGTTTCTAAGAGTAAAATAGAACAGCAGTGCAACTTTAGAAGAGAATAGTAATACCCTCACAACAAAAATGGATAGCTCCACTCTAATTCTATGGGATCATTTATCATTAGTTTGAACTGGCATTCAAAAGTAGACCTGAAGAGTCTCATTTTTATGCTATCTTAATTAAACTAACAGAAAAAATCAGAGACCATTACCAAGAAAAATCAGAGACATCATTGAAATAATGTCTTCAGTCTGGCACAACACGTGCTGCCCATAGGAATTGGGAATTTCTTCCCTGTCTTTTCCTACAGTGACCCACTGAATTGCTGGCACACCAACAAGGAGGCTGACTGAATAAAGATTGCGTATGACAGGAAGCCAGACAGCTCTGAGGGTGTGAATACTTTTTTTTAAACCCAACTGAGTTGTCTAGGCACAGGGAACATAACAAGAATTGACAGATGAACCAATTAGCATTATGCAGTGTTTACATTCCACACTTGAAACCTAACGCTTCATTGACAGATTTGGTTAGTGTGTTCCCAAACAAGATCCACCCCACAAAGCCACCAGGATAATTTCCAAGTTCAGGGTTGCAATGAACAGCTGTACCAGGGCTGTAGACAAGATGCTGGTATTCAAAAGTTAGATCCGCAATAGTGAACGAACGCATCCCGTCCTGCTCTTCAGGAACAGCACTGTGCTTCCTGCCTGTTTTCTGGTGGAATTTACAAGACAGGAGAAATCAGCAGCCTCTGGAGATCTATGTACCCTTGTTCTTGGCAGAGTACATTTAAGGCATGTGCCCTACGCGTACACCAAGCTATGATCCTTCTCTAATCCACAGCTTTTTATGTAATATAAGGAAAGGAGCGTGTGACACCTCCACAGTTCTGAGTTCTGCAATATAAAGATATAAGGGAAACTTCTTTAACACAAAGAAAACCAGATGACAAAGATAAATGGAGCTACCTGAAAATTCAGGGAGATTTGGGCATGAGCAAGATCACAATAATTTATTGGGACATAGATATTGCAATATTCTTAGAAAGACATTTGTTAAAACATGCAAAAATAAAGGAAAGGTATTGTTACTATCACCCAGATTCTGTTCCTGTTCCATCAAAAGCATGGGGTTGAATTGAATAATTATTCAGAAATAGAGTCAAAGACGTGCTCCTTCCATCATGGTGGAATGGAATCTTCGGCTTGTTTTGACATAAGCCTTCTTGATGAAATTCTAATCAAATACCAGGTAGATTTTATTCTCAAAAGGTATGCTTTGAATGACACTTATCTTAAGGGGGCAGGTTAGGGGACAAGTGGCTGGAGAGCAGCACTTGTGAAAGGGAGCTTGGGGTGCTGGTTGACTGAAGGCTAAGCATGAGTTAGCAGTGTGACGCGGCGGTCAAGAGGGCAAACAGCACCCGTGGTTGCATGGCCAGAAGTGTGGCTTCTAGATAAAGAGAGCTATTACTGCCACTGTAAAAAACTCTGGTGTGCCCCCAACTCGAGTATTGTGTTCAGTTATGGGCCCCTCATTACAGGAAGGATATAGCCAGGTTAGAGTCAGTACAGTGTAGGACCACAAGGTTGGTGGCCAGATTGCAGGGAAAGCCATATGAGGCGAGACTGAGGGAACTGGGTCTTTTCAGCCTGGAGAAGAGGAGACTCAAAGGGGATCTGTTGGCAACGTACAGGTATGTGAAGGGGTGTCACACAGAGGTGGGTTCAGACCTGTTCTCCCCTGCAGAGGAAGGCAGGACGCGCTCCAATGGAGCCAAGCTCAGGGAGCCAAGATTCCGTTTGGATGCCAGGAAGCACTTCCTGACAGTCAGGACCCCGATGGTGTGGAATGGGCTTCCACGGGAGGTCGTTGAGGCCCCATCGGTGAGGGTGTTCAAGGATAGGCTAGACATGCACATGGCAGGCATGTCGTGAGTACAGCTGGCTAGAGACGGGGGTCGGACTAGAAGGCCTGGGAGTCTGCTTCTGACTTGCTCAGTTTCTATGTTTCTAGCAGTCTTAGGCTTTGGGGATTAAAGACATTGATGGAAAAACTATTAGAGAAAACTCTTCCATGCACAAAAACATCTAAGGGCAAAGAATGTTTCTAGGAAGCATTTCAAAGAGTTCACAAAGGTGCATTTGGTGTGAAAATGAAGACTTGTGCTCATCTCTGGGGGCAACTCTAGGTCTGCTGAAGGACCTCCAAGATCTCAGTGCTCAAATTATTTAGGTAAAGAGATGCAGGGGCAGCACTCCTGCCTTTTCTGATGGCCCCATTTGCTATTGTCTATGTATACCTATAGGACAGGCCCCCTGAAGATCTCCTGATTGTCAGACCATAATTTGCATTTTTCACAGGTAGTATGGCCGTATTAGCTGGGGGAGATGGTACTAGGTGGCCTACAAGAGCATACCGGGAGAAGTATTTGTGACTGCCTCTCAGCTGTGGATTCCTTCCTTCTGAGAGGTTTCTATTAACCTTATGAATATGAAATTTTATAGAGAAAACATGAAGCAGTTTTCTTTTTTTTTTCTTTTTTTTTTTTTTTTTTTGGCTTTTGGTAGCCAGGGAGCAGGACAGACAGTGTTGTGAATCATTCTGATTGGTGATACAGGTTCAACTATGTTACCTGACAACCTGGGGAAGGGCTATCCATTGATTTAGCAAACAACTTCCACAAAGCAAACCATTCCCTTTCCACCAGATCTGAGGGCTACAGCATCTCAGCTCAAGCTCAGAAACCCTGTTCCATCTTGCCGCTTGGCAACTGATGAGAAGAGACACTTGCCCTGGGACATCCGGCAGAGCTACTCACTCGCTCAACTCACCTCACATTCTTCTGACTCTCGGCTGCACAGCACCTCCAAATCCTCCAGAGCCTCTGTGTAATGTTGTAACGCCACGTACACCTCTGATCGCCACACCCTCAGCGTAAGATCATCTGGAGCTACAGGCAGAAGCAGGACACTTCAGACCTGTTGCTAATATACACACACACTTGGTACAAAGAGTCAACAGGCCAAGTTAGTGTAAGGTGGCAAAAAATATCCAAACACGCTTGACCAGAACCAGCTGGTGTGCAAGCCATACCCGAGAGAACAGATGGCAGGAGCAACCGCATTGAAATTTCCTGTGACTGTGGAATCCAAATGGTTTTAGGAGATTGGTGGCACTCAGTCTGTAGTTAGCATGCCTGAGAAATGTGATTTAGCTTGTAATGATTCTCAGCCAGTCAACAGGGCAGGCAGAACCAGCAAAAGTTGGTTGTGCTTTGTTTGGCCTTCTGCTTGCAGAGTTCCTGAGAACATTTTCCAAGCAGCTGGTTTGTGATTCAATAGCCTCAATTAGGAAACCAAAGAATCAGCCATCTTAAGAGATATCCTTAGAAGGCTGCCTTGAGATGATGTTACCCTTAAAGTTGCCAATTTTTAAAAAATAAATCACAATTCTGGATTTGTGATCCTTCCAAAATAAAAGGAAGTTCTACATAAGAAGCTCAGTGTGTACAAATGTACTGCAGGTTGTGCTATTGATTCTGGCCACAGTATTTTTCTTTCTTCACTTGTGATGGCTGACCTCTTCATTCCAGAGCCAGTTTAAAGGATAGGTCTTGGGCATACATCTGCTCAGAAGTAAGCTCAGTTTCCACAGAGTGAAGGAACCTTAAGCAGTGCATACAGGATTGCAGCTTATGAGACTAAACATGATATACATAACCAGACACAGGCATGGAATTCAGTATTAATATACAAAGGTGTGAAAGTCAGTGGATTTCCAAAGGGTCCTACAGGTCTTGGTAACATCATATAAGTGACAGCTGATTACTTAGTGGGCCATCCAAAGAAAGGCTGATGTATGGAGCGTTTCCCATCTGGAATGCTAAATGCTGTAGCTGATTACCCCTCTCTGCTGCTTTCCCATCCTCAGCATAGGGTGTCCAGAGAGTATGCCCATTCTCAGTGGGCCGTGGAAGCAGAAAAGCATCGCTGCAACCTTAGACTTTCACAAGTCAGCTGTTGTCCTGAATGTCCTACAGGAAGTCACTGGCTGCCAATACCCCTCCGGTGCCTGGGCAGACTGGCACTCGGAGTGTTTGGATCATACTATCTGACAAGGGTTGTATAATTCTAAACCACCTAGCAAATGCCTGGAGTCTACACCCCTCAGAGCCTTATTTGGACCCTCCATTCACCCTCATTTAGAATAAACTATTCTCCATCTCTTAGCTAGTTTTCCTTTTATTCATGCTAATTCCCATTTTTTCCCCAATCCTAGCCTTATGCAAGCATGGAATCCTGCAGTTAGCAGAATCTGACACTGCCTCTCAGCTCTGTGAGTGTCAGGACAGGACCTTCTGGTTTGGAGTTAGAAAGACACGACTCTGCTTGTGCAATGGTAGTGGCGAGAAGGGGGAAGTAACTCTGTTGCTCTATGGGGTGCTTGGGCTGTTAAGCGCAGGCTCCCCATCCCCACTCCAGCCAGTAAATTTCCACAATAAACAGCACATGGCTGAATATGCTGTCGTGATTCACCCAGCAGTGCTGCAGCAGTGATTCACCTAGCAGTGCCACCGAAAGTGTTACACAACAACACTTGCCACTGCAGAGATGCTGAAAGAACAAGGAAGGTGGAACATGGGCAGCCTCTGTTCAGGGCACTACAGGGCACATTCCCCCCTGGCATTAATCGGCTAAAACCCTTTCTTGTCCATCTGTCTTTAGATCTAGAAACTCTGAACAAAGTCCTCTAAAAGGCAGTGGCTGAAAAGGTTTCACTGAAATACTCTAAAATTCTTCATGATCAACCCAGAATCGAACAAGGTGACAAAAGCCCTGCGTACATGCTGACTGCCAGCACCTCCAAGAACTTGCCGCACCACCTCCCATAGACCTCATTGCCCAAGGTTTCACGAGGTAAGCTGCTGGACTCATTGAAGCCGCTCTTGTTGTCTCTCTCTCTCTATTTATTTATTTATTTGGAATACTTATATGCCACCCCATTCGCAAAAGCCTCAGGGCGGCTATAGCTATACAAATACATTAAAAATCTGGAAACATCCCAGCGTAACTATAAAATCAATAAATAAATTCAACAATTAAAATCACGTTTAAATAAAAAGGTCTTGGCCTGATGCCGAAAAACAAATAATGACGGCACCAGGCGGACCTCTCTGGGGAGCGCGTTCCATAGGTTGGGTGCCACCGCAGAGAAAGCCCTCCTCCGGGTACTCACCCTCCTAATGTCCTTCACGGAGGGCTCCCGGAGAAGGGTCTCTGCCGCCGATCTCTCTTCCTCTCTCCCAAACACCATTGTTGTACAAATTTGTATTTGTAACAAGATGTATATTTGTAAATATACAAATATACACAAATTTATACAAATTTATAAAAATCTGTACAATATACAAACATGCACACTCATATCATACAGCTCATGGAAGGTTTGCTGAGGGCCAATCCAACCCATCACCACCCCTGGTTTATTTGTCATCTTAAGGATGTTCATGCATAAAAGCTAACCAATCTACAATCTTGCAAGAAGATGAGTGTATATGCTGTTCACACAGTGAATCGTTAAACAATGGATTCCACTACTACAAGATGGGGTGATAGCCAATATTTCTGCTACATAGTTAGCAAGCATGAGTTCGTCACTTACCGTATTCTTCCATCTATAAGATGCCCCCATGTATAGGACACCTCCCACTTTTCCTACCCATCTCCAGCGAACAAGCTGCTGTCATGTACACATCACTTCGCCACCCCCACCCCGCTTTGCCGCCCCCCACGCATGCCAGTCTCCCCCCCCCCAGCGTGCCTGCAGCCCCCATGTATAAGACACACCTTCATTTTTAAGTAAATGTTTTTAAGAAAAAGTAGCATCTTATACATGGAAAAATACAGTAGTTATGCTGCACATAGGATAGCAATCTACTTCATCTTCTAAATCAATTTTTATTGCATTTTTCTTGGTCTTCTACTACAGGCCACTACTGCTACAATCTAGCATCATCATCTATTTGAAATACACTACACTTACAACTGTGACCTGCAAAATCTATTTTTCTGAATATCTTCATGATGGATATGCAATTAATTTATTATTTTGTACTAATATGTATTTGGGCTGCATTACCAGAAGTATCACTTCCAAATCCCATGAAGCACTACGTCCCCTTTACTCAGCACTGGGTAGGCCTCATCTGGAGTCCTGTGTCCAGTTCTGGCACCACAGTTTAAGAAAGATGCAGACAATCTGGAAGGGTTTCAGAGGAGGGCAACAAGGATGATCCGGGGACTGGAAACAAAGCCCTGTAAAGGTCAGGTTGAAAGAACTGGGCAGGTTTAGCCTTGAGGAGAGAAGACTGAGGTATGATAGCACCCCACAAATACTTGAAAGGCTGTCACACAGAGGAAGGCCAGGCTCTTTTCTTGATCATCCCAGAATGCAGGATGCAGAATAACAGACTCAAGTTCTAAGCTGACAGATTCTGGCTAGATATCAGGAAAAATTTCCTGAATGCTAGAGCAGGACAACTCTGGAATCACTTAGCTAAGGTTGTTATGGTCTCTCCCTCACTAGAGGCATTCAGGAAGCACCTGGACAGCCATCTGAAAGGGATGCTTGAACTTGGAGTCCTGCACTGAGCTGGGGGTAGGACCCTATGGCCCTATGGCCCCTTCTATGTTTCTATTATTGCCATTGTTATTATTATACTTTTTCTATATACATTAATCAGTTCAGTGATCGCAGTTTTGCAGTTCAGTGACACCTGCCTATGAATTAAGCCATATGGCAGCTTTTCAGAACTTTTTCCATTGTTTGGGTTCTTAGATGAATAGACTGGGTTTCTGGAACACAATAAGCCACGGTGGTTTGGAAGCCAGAGATGCTGCCATACTGTCTGAACTGAGCCGTAATGCTGTGTTAGCCATTCTGCCCCAAACACTGCAAGCCACCCCTTGCTTTTAAACTACCATGGCTTATTGAGTTGTACGAACCCAGTCAATGATCAGGTTTGCAAGAACAAGAAGGGAAAAGCAACCACAGTAGTTTCTTTTCCCTCCCATTCCACACACACGTTCTGGCCATGCATTGCATGATTTACCTAATTATCCGCATTATCTAACCCCAGCAAGATGCATGGCAGGGATGGCTTCAAAATTATGGCACGTGGGTGTGGATGAAAAAAGCCACTGTGGCTTCTTTTCTCTGGTGATTGTCTGGATCTGGCCTCTGTCTTTTGTTAGAATAGGGCATTGATTTCTTTGTCGATGATCTAAGCATCTAGTCATGCATTTCTCAGAGACTTCTTACATATGCAATTTAGAATTTACGTAATACCCAATAATTATGTCTGTATTATCACTACATCATCTATCAAATCATTATGGAAGAATCAGTGCCATAATAGTATTCAAATCTTGCCCACAAACTAATGAAGACAATTCAATGGAATCATTAGTTTGCCCTAAGCATTCAACTTCCCTGCACAAAAAATTGGGAAAGACATAAAAGAAAGCTGTCTTTTATTTATTATTTATTTATTAAAACATTTTTATGCCGCCCCATTCTCCGAAGCCTCGGGGCAGCGTACAACAATAAATTAAAATAATTATAATCTTAAATTAAAAAATATAAGCATTAAATTAAAAATACAAAAATACAATATAAAATAAGCCGCCCTGTATATTACTGAAGAACAGGCACACTTCAAACTAAACCTCTTTACATATGACCTAGACAGATGTAATGGTGGGATTTGTTTGTTTGTTTCAAAACTAAACATGTTACATGAAGTTATGCATGGATTTTACAAATAAAACTCTATTCCTTCTTTTTCACACTCATAGAAAACAGTACAATCCTCCACATATCTACCCAGATATAAGTCCCACTGAGTTCAGTGAGGTTTACTCCCAGGTAAGTTCAAATACTACATTGCAGCTTAAAGCAGAAAAGATGCCAATGATTTACTCGAACTTGAAATTAGTGGTATTCTAAACACTTCCCAAAGCAATACTTTAAAAAAAAGTTTAGACTCCAATGGAAGGCGGAGTCGAGTATAAGAATTTTGAACAGAAAAAAATATTTCAACTTCAATAATTAATAAAACTGTCTCTATTTCTTGCCATTTTTGTAAATTATGTCTGCTTCTTACAAAAAAATGCAAATTCCTTTGGTGCTTCCAGGAACCAAAGCAATGGCAGAAAGAAATGACGCTGACAAGAAAAATAGAATAATAAGCACAGCTACGAAAACAACTGATGCCTGATTTGGTGAGTTTTGATTAGGTTATTTTAACATGTACAATTTTGAGTAAAAAATGTAAGCAGATTAAACTTTATTGCTAAATATACATATTTCACTCCTTTTTCCATGTAGACTTTTACTACTACAAGCAGAAATTCAACCAATGTGCAGACCTTCCTAAAGGAAGATGCAGTAACTGGAAAGCTGGACCTGGTGAATTTTTGTTACATCATGATAGAAAAAATAAGGAGGCAGCCCAAACAGACTAGTTTTCAGCTAAGTACGTAATTACCTGTTCTTCCCAGAAATTGCAGACTGGACGAACAGTTTCACCTGGTCTAGACTGCAAATTGCCACCTTGTGCAAGGAAGTCACTTTCTCTCTCAAAACTATATAGCAATAAAAATAAGCAACTACATGGCAACTACTCTAGACTTCAGTCCTATGCTTATTCTGGAAGTAATCCCCAGTGGATTCAGAAGGGCTTACTTCTGAGTACAGACATATTGGCTTGCGCCATTCAACTCTTTGCAGGCACAGGAAGATGATTTTTTTATGCAGGGCTGGGGAACCTGTGCCCTTCCAGATGCTGGTGGGCTCCAGTTCCCATAAGCTCCAGCAGTGATAGGAGTTGGAGTACCCATCTCAACTTAGCCATAATAGAATGAAAGGCTTTGGAGAGATTGAGTTTTAAATCCATTTCCACTGAGATAACAGGAAGTCTGCATGCACAACAAACACTTTTATCTCCATTATGACGCGTTATATAAAGGATCAGCTAATTCCTGAAAAAAATCCTCATATTTAATTATGCATTTCTAGTTCAAGATCAGAACATGTTGCCTACGTACAAGTCCTCACAAGAAGCGTATGACCCTAAGTGAGGAAGGTAGCTTTTCTACTGACCTCCAATTACCAAAATCTGATGTTCAAAATCTGTTAAAAACATCCTCTAAGTATAATTTACAGTGTTATTCAATAGACTCAGACATATGTCTGCTGAATTCAACTGAATTTTCTCTAAGGTAAGTCTGTATAATTAATAATTAAGAAAAAAAAGAAGCTTACCTAGACAAACTTTGAAATGTTTTAGTACCCCAAGCCACATTCAAATATACCTCAGGATAATAAAATATCACAAAACCAAAGCCATCAAAGAGTTACTAAAGAAGGAAACATTAACCTTCTGCCCTGGATCAATGGGACATTTTTTTTCTCCTAATACTTTCCATTGGTCAGGACTAAAAACCATGCCAATGCTATACACATGTACACTTTTTAAAAAATAAGCTTTGTCCCTGGCTTTTTCAGTTTTCCAAGACATTTTCTTTGGCTCAATTTTGTTGGATAGTTTTTATCCCAACACATTATATTAGCTGGGACTAAAAATATTTACAAACTTCATCCAGCATTTGGTGCCAGTTTGGGGGGCAGGGGCTTTGTTGTATTTTGTTGGTCCCAGCACTTTAGTATACAGAAAAAACATTTAAAGTGCTAAATTTACAGTCTTTTATTATTATTCTGCAAGTAACAGCATATAGGTCTAGATCTGCATAAATTCATCTATTAAAATTCACCTGGGACAGAATTCTGCCCCTAGTCATTGGAAGAAACCTCAGACTGAAAAGAAAAATTCAACAGTGGAAGCTGTATAAGAAAAGTCTAGTGTGCATGTCTCACCTGTTTGTTTTTGTGGATTTGGTTTTCTTGTTTGATTTTTTATTTTTAAAAAAACCCCACTTGTACTCCTTTCCTGAGTCACTGCAAACTCAGAGCTTGCTGTTTTATAACAGGCTGTCAAGAAATGATGAACAACACTAGAGCTTCAACATTACTGCACAGGCAAGAAGGTCTCAACCAGAGAAGCACATACGCTCAGGCCACTCTTAAATCCTTCAAGGTCTGGGTGACCTCTGAATTTTCCAACCTCAGTCTTTGGTTATGCTTTAAGATTATTAACCCAAGAATGGTTGGAAGGTGCAGACTGCTCTCTGAGTGATAATACAGATTGCTCTCGCTCTCACTCTCGCTCTCGCTCTCTCTCTCTCTCTCTCTCTCTCATATGACAGAGGCACAAGTGAGGTCCCTAGAGAGGTCTGCCTGGCACTGTCATTATATGCTTTCTGGCGCCAGGTCAAGACCCTTTCATTTAACCAATATTTTAAAGTTAATTAATTTTAATGGTATATTTATTGATTTAATTCATTTTAGCCATGTTATTTTATACTCAGTCGTGGTGTAGCCAATTTATTAATTTTAGGATTGCTTTTAGGGTTTTAATATATGTAAACCACCCAGAGAGCCCTCTGGGCTATTGGGGTGGTATATAAATGCAATTAATTAGTTAATTAATTAATTATCTAATAACAGCAAATCGACCAAATTCATTAGCTGCAGCTTTCCCATCATTGTTTCTTCATGCTAAGCAGCATCTGTTGAACTTCTGCCTCTCAGGCACCTGTTCACCTCTCAAACTTCCATCATGAGGAGAAAAAAATGACAAGATCCATGGTGTAAACAGACACTGAATTCTTGGGGACAAATCAAGAGGGCAAAGAGTGACTTCTCCAGTGAGGAAATAGAGTTGCAAGGAAACCTTCTGTCTTTTGGTTTTAGTGCAGCAGAGAGGGAGCTGGGTTCAAATCCTCACACAGTCTTGGATAAAATCTCACATTAATGTACCTAACAAGTTTGTTTAGAAAGCAAAGCTACTTGAGAAATAATCTTGAACCACTATAAAAAAGTCCTGCCTTATTTTGTCTGAAATGAATACAGACAAGCTAAACAGTGCCTATACCCTCTGAGCCTATCTGCAAATTTGACAGCACAATTTGCACAGCAGAACCGGGAAGAGCTCCAAAAGAAGTGTTTCATATAGGCAGGGAATGTCTTTCATTATCTTGCTATTCTTAATCTGGTTGAATAAGTAATTTTTTCATGCCACCCTGTCTTTTGATCACTCACTGATTTGTCAAAAGTTTCCATAAAAGCAAACTTTTTGAAAGTGCTAACTTTTTCAGGTGAAAAAAAAATCAAATACAATAATCATTTTGCCAGTCAAGAATATGAAACAAGCCAAATTTTCCAACTCATGAAAAGAAAGTCACCAGCTGCAGCAATGAAAAGGAAGTGAATAACTAAGCGAGTGACTGCTATCAAGAACTGTCCCTTGCCGATTATACAATGCAGTCTGGGCGATATGGCGACAAGTTGCATAACCCGGCGACTGTTGGCGTGGGTGCCTTGAAATCCAGGAGTCCAAAAATCAGCTACCAGGCTATCAAGCAAGCTGCCCCCACCACCCCTTTTCCAATAGCCCCAACACACGACAAAAGCATCCCGGGGCGCACCCAGTGCTTACCCAATGTGATGGCTTTCTGAAGGGTCCTCAGAGCTCCGCGGTAGTCCCGGATCCTCAGCAGTCCCTGCAAGTCGATCTTCAGCCTAGCCGCCTTGGCGTCCTTCCCCAAGCACTTTTCCAACAAGTTGGAGAGCAGGACGTTGGAACTCACGGTCCTGGAGCCCAGTAGGGCGAGCTTCTCCTCGCAGAGCTGGCAGTTGGCAGGCAAGCCGTCACCAAGGCATCGCCTGCAGAAGGAATGGCCGCACGACACGGTCACCGGGTCCCACAGCACCAAGCGGCAAGCGGGGCAGCGGAAGACCTCCATGCTGCTGCTCCGGCTCAGGCAAACGGAGGAGAAGGGAAGGGAGGTTGACTGCTGCGCGGCTGGCTACAGAGATCCTCCAGGGACAACGTGCAAAGGGCGACCGCTTCCCTAAAGGCGCGACATCGGAAAGAGACGTGAGGAAAAAGGGCAGTCCCTGTCAGGGCGCTTCAGCCGCCGACCCACGCCGTGCCCTCTCCTGCCGGGGCTTGAGATGCTTTGCAAGGGGCCGAGAGGCAACGCTTCCTCCTCTTTGCGCCTTCGGCAGGTTCGGGAGCCGGCCTGCCCGCGAGCTCTTAAAGGCACAGGGCAGCAGCGCGCAGCACGCGCACGGGCCTCTTCGGGTTATTTTTGGGGTCTTCCTTTTCAAAAGAGTCGAGAGTCCCCAACTGAGTCACGACAAGCGAGCTCCAGGTTCACGTGCCTATTTTTTCGGGCGCAGGGCATGGGACCATCTACTCCGCCCCCTTTGCCACACTTGAGAAATAAATCACTTTCGGAAACGGCACCTGCTCAAACCGCTTTCCCACCCTTCCCCCTCCGGGACCCAACTTTCCTGCTGTGACACCCATCCGGACATTTTATTTCATTTCCATTTATTTTTACTCCCCAGAACGGAAATACCCCTTTGCTTAGTCCCTGACCGGCCCCTTCCAAACCCCTCTACGCGCGGCCGGCTTTTGGCTTTGCAGCTTCGACGGGGCGGCAACTGAGCAAACAGGTGACTTTTGGAGAGACGCCCAGTCCCGGAGCTTTGGGTCTGCGCAACGGATTCGTCTGAGTTCCTTTTCTCTCTCTTAAACTCGCTTGGGCGCTTCTGCCACCATTTCCCAGCATGGGCACAGAAGTCACCCGCTTTCCTGTCCCGCTGCAGGGCTCGTTCGCCTCCCCCCGGTTGCCGTGCTCCTCCGCTCGCTCTCTGTCGCTCCGGCTGCCAGCTTGAGCGAGCGCAGGACTCAGCTGCCTTTTATTAGCTGACAAGAGGAGTGGAGCAGAGCAGTGTCACGGGGCGGGACGAAGGACAGGTAGCAAGCAGGATGCAGCTAGAACCGTAACTTTTCCGGGACGGCACGGCAACATCGCCACCAACCCACGCGCCGAGCCCACTTTTGTTACCTTCCGTACGCGCGCCCGCGCGCGCGCACAAGCGGCCAAACAAAGAAACCCCCTTCGGAATATTACATAAAACCCGGAGCGGCCCCATGTGATGCAGCCGGAGAGCGGCCCCATTGGCTGCCTGCTTCGGCCCGCCCCTGTTGTGAAACAGACTTTGCGGAGCGCGTTTCGTAACCTCTGGAAGCGGGGCGGGTGCTTTATTTTTCGGGGGTGGGGAAGGGGTAGGAAAGAGGTCCAGCTGGGGCCCTTTCGGTTTCAGATCTCCAGGGACCGGAGGCTGTCTCGGAGCGGGCTCCACCGCCGAGGCAGAACTCCGTAATTGATTGAATCCCTCCGCTTCCCGCGGGCTGCCCTTACTCAACTCGTGACTCTTAGCCTGGCGTCTCCGTTGCTCCCACTTTTTCTTCCTTCGGCGAAGTTAATGATGCGTTCCGAGGCAGGGAGGGAAACTATTATTTGCATACAAAAGTACATAATGTACCCTATGCTAACACTGCTGTTTCTGAGAAAACATGGGTAGGACCAGGCTGCATGGCTGCAGTGCTAAGGCAGGATCCCTGACGAGCACACTCTGATGTAAGCTTGGCTTTGCTTAGGGGGTATCAGCAAGGGTGGGCTACCTAGGCATCCAGAAAGTTTAGTGTGCAAGTCGCAGGATCGCTCACCCTTGGCTCTGCTGGTTGAGGCCAGTAGGGGACGTGGCTGCCAGGGGCAGCTGACAATTTCCCAGTCTGTTGAACCATAGGGATGGGGTGGGCCTCCCACTACTACGTTTCAGTAGTGGGAGGGCATAGCCATAGTATGTGGCAATGACTACAACCTACACAGCCCCTTTATATTTCAAAGCACGTGGGTCAGGAGAAGCCCCTGTTGTTATGCCACCTGCAGTTTCTGGGGCTGTAAGGTGTTCCAGAGCAGCCCTTAGCTTAGATCAGTTGCTTTTCAGGGAGAGATGATTGGAGGTTTGCAACATACGGGTTTGTTTAAATTATGCAGGTTGCACATAAGTAGAATATCCACTGGCCAATGCCAGATTCCCACACTGAATTACCCCTGCTGAACAGCTAACATGTCTTCAGGTTATAATTCTAGCTCAGTTGCCTCTTTCTGCCCTTCTGTCATTCCTGCTTTTTTCTTTCATGGAATCATAGAATAGTAGAGTTGGAAGAGGCCAGAAGGCTATCAGGTCCAACCCCTGCTCAGTGCAGGACTCCAAGTTAAACTATCATCTCAGATGTCTGTCGAGTTGCATCTTGAATGCCTCTAGTGTGGGAGAGCCTACAACCTCCGTAGGTAGTTGGTTCCATTGTCATACTGCTATAACAGTCAGGAAATGTCTCCTGATAACTAGCCAGATTTCATGCAACTTGAGCCCATTATACTTTGGGACACGTGAGAAAAGTTCCCTCTTCCTCTTTGTGACACCCTTTCAAATATTTGGGGCGCTATCATATGCCCCCTCAGTCTTCTGGTGGCTAAACCTGCCCAGTTCTTGTTGCCCTCTCCAACTTGTCTACATCTTTCTTAAACTCTGGGTGTCAGAACTGGACAATAAGGCCTAACCACTGCTGAGTAAAGGGGAACTAGTATTTCATGGGATTTGGAAGTGATACTTCTCTTTAAGTAGCCTAAAATAGCATTTGCCCATTTTTGTAGCCACATCACACTGTTGAATCATATGTAGCTTGGGATCTAGAACAATTCCAAGATCCTTCTCACTTTCAGGACTGTTGAACCAAGTATTCCCCATCTTGTTACAACACATTTTATGTTTTTTTCCCAGGTGCAGAGCTTGGCATTTGTCCCTGTTGAGTTTCATTCTGTTGATTTCAGCCTGGCCTTCCAACCAATCAAGATCACCTTGAATTTGTTTCTTTCTTCTGAGGTATTAGCTGTCTTACCCAGTTCTGTATCACCTCTAAATCTGATAATCATTCCTGGCACTGCCTCATCCCGATCATTAATCAGATAATTTAATGTTTACCAATATTTCCTTTCATGTTTCATTTAATAAAATGTCTCATCCAGATCATTTAATAAAATGTGGAAGAGCACTGGGCCCACGCTGCACCCTGCAGCACTCCACTTGAGAAGTTTGAGAAGGTTCCGTTGACGAACACCGTTTGATTTTGTAGCCAACTGTGGACCCGCCTGCTCTCCATTCTGTGTAGCCCACTTTCAACTAATTTGCTCATCGGGATATCAAGGGGCACTTTATAAACACTTTGCTAAAATCAAGATATATTGTGTCCACAGCATTCCCACAGTCCATCAGGGTGGTTACATACAAAAATGAAATCAGGATTTGGTCTTAAGAATTCCATGTTGGCTTCTAGTAATTACTGCATTGCTTTATTGCTTTGTCTCAGGTGTTTGCAGACTGACTGCTTTATAATCTGCTCCAGAGACTGATGTTAGACTAACAGGTCTGTATTTGACAGATTCTTCTTTTTCCTTTCTTGAAGTTAGGGACAACATTAGCCTTTCTCATTTGGCATGTCCCCATCCTCCATGATTTCTGAGACTGTGGTTCTGAGAGTTCTTCCACCAGCTCCTTTATGACTCTAGGATGGAGTTCATTGGGCCCTGGAGATCTGAACTCATTCAACCCAATTAGATGATCCTTGACCATTTGCCTATCAATCTTGAACTGCCATCCTGCTTCTTCAGCTTGTACAGTGGTACCGTGGCTCACAAACTTAATCCGTTCCAGGACTCTGGTCGTGACCCAAATTGGTTGCAAGCCAAGTTAAATTTCCCCATAAGGTTCAGTGTAAATAAGGTTAATTTGTTCTGTAACTATTTTTCTTTAATCAGAAAAATGTGAAGCAAAGTGACAAAGAACAACAAAGATCGCGACAATCTCCCCACCCCCAGCATGAGTGCAGCCATCTCCCCCGCTTCCCCACAGCACGACTGCAATCCTGCCCCTCATCCCTGCACATGCCGTCATCCCGGCATGCTGGGGGGGTAAAGATGGGCGGGAACGCAGGCATGCTGGGAGTGGGGAGAGATGGGCGGGAACATGGGCACACTTGTGGGGGGAAACGGGCACCATCATGCTGTGGTGGGGAGATGGCCGAGATCATGGCTGCACTCTTGCAGGAAAGCCGGGCGCAATCACGGGCATGCTCATGCAGGGAAGACGGGCACGATGTGGCCATCTCCCCACTTGGGGTGGGGAGTGGGAGATGGCCATGATCACGGTCACCACCCAATGTGGAGTTTGCGACCTGAATCAAATTTTTTATGAAATTTTTGTTTATGACCAGATTTGGTCATGTACTGAGGCATTTGTGAGCTGAGGTACCACTGTACTTCCCCTTCATCAGGAAGGTCATAGATCTTCTTTTGGGAGAAGACTGAGCCAAAGTAGGAATTGAGAACTTCTGCTTTTTGTTGTCATCTGCTATCATTTTGCCATTCTTGGTTCGTTTTTGCTTGTGTGCACACACAGTAAATTTGGAGGAGACCTCAGGAAAGATGTTCCTTCTTTTCCAGACTTCCAGTGGCTGCCATCCAGATGATTCCAGAAAGGGATCTGATGCCAAGAAACCACCTTTTAACAATCAGATGTTCAATCAGTGACATTCACTGGCCATTAAGAGCATCAACCAGCCATTAACATTCTTTTGCCTAGTTAAGGATATGGTCAGTAATTTGGTCAGGCTTTCATAACATGATTATAGTCAGTGGTTAAAGTGGGTAGGAACAGGTTGGTATTAGCAACAGGCAAAATGTCACGGAGCCCTAGAAGAAAAATAGTTCATACACATTCTCACTGAGTTTAGAGCTGGTATGCATGTTACCACAACCGCATAGAAGCTACTACAGGAAATACTTTCCCAAATCAAGAGACTATTCCAAAGTAAAGCCTTAAAAATGGTGCTCAGTTTAGAAATTAAGTAGCTGCTCCCCCCGCAACCCATTCTTGACTATGCTATATTTACTTTCTACAGCTTAGTAATGTGTTTTCATGCAAATGTTTATTAGAAAGAATGCAAAAGATATCTAGCATATAAGGTTTGTTGTTGGTGGTTGTGAAGTTGTGTCTGACCCATCGCAACCCCATGGACAACATTCCTCCAGGCCTTCCTGTCCTCCACCATCTCCCGGAGTCGACTTAAGCTCACACCCACTGCTTCAGTGACTCCATCCAGCCACCTCATTCTCTGACATCCCCGTTTTCTTTTGCCATCTATTGTTACCAGCATTAGACTCTTCTCCAAGGAGTCCTTCCTCCTCATTAGGTGGCCAAAGTATTGAGTTTCATCTTCAATATCTGGCCTTCTAAAGAGCATAGAAGGTTACCCAGAGCTTTGTCTCACAAAGGAATTATCAGATGTGATTTCAAAGAATACAGTTGGAATAGTTGGTTGCCATAACAACAAAAACTCACTTTACATCTTCATGCAGATGGGGGGATACAGGCATTTAAAAATGTGCAGTGCCATCAAAGGGGGCATTGTATGTATGCAGAGAGGTCAAATACAAGGCAGTATGCAGAGAGGTCAAATACAAGCCCATTCTTTTGAAGCACCTACGGTGAAGTACCTGTTGTTTTGCTTGCTTTGTAATATTATTGGTATAATAATATAACATTTTCCGTAACAGCGCCCTAATTATGAACTTAGTCCCTAGGATGGTTAGACTGGCATTCTATTTACTGTGTTTCAGACGAAGCCAATATAGATCGGCTCCATCATGCTTTTAATAGTTATAATGTCATCACCCTGTTTTCTTTATGTTTTTAGCAATTTATGACACTGAAGAACCTAAAAAATAAAAATAAAAAAGAATTGAGTCATGCTTTTATATTGCTATGTGACCTGGTTTTGGTTGACATAGCCAATAGTAAGGAGTCTGCTGTGTTGCAGTCCAGAAGTGTTTCCAGATGTTTTTAATCTTACT